TATATAAAATTAAATTACAATATGAAATTGCTTAAAAACAATATTGAAAGATGGTTTCAGTAAGTCTCACAGATGATAGTTCCAAACAACATCAATATGCTGTGTGATGAATCCCGACATGTTTCACCATCGGGCTTCCTCAGGGGATATAATTTATCACACTGTGAAGGAACTAAAAGGAGATAATCAATACCTTATAAACAACAAAGAATATAACATATATTGTACTAACCATTGTATAGAATAAATGAATCTGGATCAACATTTTGCTATAACAACAATATCAAACCACTCATAACATCAATATCACTGGGAGGTCTTTGAGTATCTTACCAATATCACTCAGGTCATGAGAAAACTTGTCAGAATCAGAGAAGGGTGGTACAAAGATAAAGCCAGATAGTTCAACAGGTCCCCTCACCGGTAAAGGTAGAGGGCAGTATTCAGTGTGCTGCAGGAGAGGCACACAAGGCCAAAACCTATGTTAAAGAAAATATCTGATGTATATGTGAAAAAAAAATTATATATGAATATACTGTAATTCTCTGGGAAGGGTCCTACTGAGCCCCACATGCTAAGGAGATAAACCACCTAGCCACAGAAGTAGTCAAGGTATAAACACCTGGTTATTATCATATGATGGATTGCTGTTTTCCAAAAGAAAATAGCCTGTACACCATACAAGTGGGAATCAGCAAAGAGAAGGCTACCTTATATGTATGTGTGCTCTTACAGCCCCGCCCAACACAGCAATGTCATGGCGGGACACTGATGCAAAAATTGTATGGCACAATTTTGTATGGCATTGTGTACTGATTCTATACAATGGTTTGTTCAATACACACTATATTGCCAAAAATATTGAGACACCTACCCTTACACGCACATGAACGTTAATGGCCTCCAAGTCTTAGTCTGTAGTCTTTAATATTGTGTTGGCCCACCCTTTGCAGCTATAACAGCTTCATCTCTTCTGGGAAGGCTGCTCCCAAGGTTTAGGAGTGTGTCTATGGGAATGTTTGACCATTCTTCCAGAAGCACATTTGTGAAGTCAGGCACTGATGTCGGACGAGAAGGCTGTCGGGTTGAGGCTGGGACTCTGTGCAGGCCACTCAAATTCCTCCATCCAAAACTTGCTCCTCCATGTCTTTATGAACCTTGCTTTGTGCACTGGTGTGCAGTCATGTTGGAACAGGAAGGGGTCATCCCCAAACTGTTCCCACAAAGTTGGGAGCATGAAATTGTCCAAAATGTCTTGGTATGCTGATGCCTTAAGAGTTCCCTTCACTGGAACTAAGGGGCCAAGCCCAACCCCTAAAAAACAACCCTACACCATAATCCCCCTCCACTAAACTTTACACTTGGCACAATGCAGTCAGGCAAGTACCATTCTCCTGGCAACCTCCAAATGCAGACATGTCCATGGGATTGCCAGACAGAGAAGTGTGATTCGTCACACCAGAGAACAGGTCTCCACTACTCTAGGGTCCAGTGGAGGCTTGCTTTTCACCACAGCATCCAACGCTTTGCATTGCACTTCGTGGCTGAGTTGCTGTTCCCAGTTGCTTCCACTTGTTATAATACCACTAACAATTGACTGTGGAATATGTATTAGCCAGGAAATTTCACGGATAGAGTTACTGCACAGGTGGCAACCTATCACGATACTACACATGTTTGTAAAGGCAGTCTGCATACCTAGGTGCTTGATTTTATACACCTGTGGCCATGGAGGTGATTGGAATACCTGAATCCAATTATTTGGAGGGGCGTCCCAATACTTTTGGCAATATAGTGTATATTTTGCATCCATTCTGAACTCTTTCTCAAGGCATATCCTACACCTTGAATTGTGGAATGGTTGATTCTTATGTTAATACTCAACTTTTCCAATACTTTTGACAATATAGTGTGTTATATTCTTTGTTGTTTATAAGGTATTGATTATCTCCCCTTAGTTCCTTCACAGTGTGATAAATTATATCCCCTGAGGAAGCCCGATGGATGAAACATGTTGTGAGACCTACTGAAACTATCTTTCAATATTATTTTTAAGCAATTTCATATTGTATTTTAATTTTCTATATGCAATAAAAATCTTCAGTGGTTTTGTCTTGAAATCTGTGTAGTGTTGAATGACCTTGCACCTACAAAGTCCTAAACCTAAGGGAGTGATATTATCTCCTTTTTTTTCTCTAACTACATACTAGCAAATCATAACAGACTTACCCCTCAAATGGAGCACTTCAGCGCTGAGCTGTCACCACTCCCAATGGTTCCATCTTCGCCTGGTCTTCGGGGGTTTGCTTTTTCCGGCCAATTGAAGTCACTGCACCACTGCATACACTAGGTGCCATACCTGTGGTTTCAGCTGGAGTGGGAGCAGTATGCACAAAGAAAAAGGGGGTCAGTGCGTATAGGCAGCAGTGTATACAGGGGAGCAGTGTGTAGAGAGAGTGGGACAGTGTGTACAGTAGCTGAATTAAATTTGAGAGAATTCCCAGGTTGTGTTTGTTGTTTGTAATCAGACTATAAAGCCATACCCAGTATTTAGCATAATTTACCCACACCCACATTTTGCCACAGGTCACCATCTCCCTACTCCCTACTGTCACCTCCCATTCTCTAGTCCAAAAGTTGGGAGGTACATTTAAAGCCACTCTATTGTTTTATATTATTTAGGGCATGAAAATATAGTTACTATACAGTATATCCTGCTTTTATCCACCACTACCATCAAGTCACTACATTTATGGAAATATTTGCACATTACTAAGTAAACTACAATGATTTGTTAACAATCCTAAAATATTATGTAGCCCTGGTCTGTGGTACTTAAGACCAGGCTGTCACTGACAGCTAGTCACACACGGCAGCTGCCACCGAGGATGTCAAAGCCGGCAGTCCTGCAGCTTATTTCCCTTTCACTGGTATGACCGGTGAGGGATAGGATGAAGGAAAAAAAGAGATTACTGGCTAAAGGACATGTAACTGGGCTGTGGATACAGCCATAGCAAACCAAAGGAGAGCCCCTTTCACCACCTGGGACAGCAGGAGAGTACTGAATGGTCACAGAGGGAAAATCCTGCCTGTGAAGTGGGGAAAAGAGTGCTGAGAGTCACTTGGAACTATGGGTGGTGTAATCCCCAGAAGACAGTCTCTATCAAGCTAAGTACTGTATTAGACTACAAGTCCCAGGAGTATGGGGATTAGCAGAAGAAGAAAAAGGAAAGAAAACCTTGAGGCTCAGGGCTGTCTCGTGAGGGAATTGAGTGGTTACGAGGGGAGGCCAAAGCCAATGGAGAGATCCAACGGCCAGAGGAGAGGGGCATCACAGGTTCCACAAGAGATTGCCACTAAAGCACTTGAAGTCACCACCAAAGCCACTTGTTCTAGATGTAAAGAACATTTGGAAAAGGTGGCATAGTGGTGAGAGGACACTGGCCACAACTCCTACCTCCTACAAAGACAGCATCCCCCTAAACTGGGACATATAGTAGTTTGGGAACGTACACCCTGTACTGTTGGGCTACAACTAGGGTTGCCATCTCATTAGACCTTTAAACTGAACACATATTAATTACACAGGTTCTGTGGCTGATTAAGGTGGTAATTAAAATCACTTAGTGCCTGATCTGCATTACATTAGCCTCAGAAACTGTGTAAATAATATGTGTTCGGTTTTAAAGGGATGAGGTAGCAACCCTAGCTAAAACTAAACCTCAGTGCTCCAAAGCAGAACTCTGGGCCCCAATGGCTAAAACTACAATGGTCACTGGGAGAGATTTTTAGGGACTGAAGAACCTTTTTACTTCTAGTAGCACCCCTTTCATTAAGACGGCACCCCCTGCCAGGACACACTGATCAACGCTAGCTGCCATTGGCTGTTAATGCTGATTTAATGCAGATCAGATGCTGGTTTTTCAGCATGGTTGTTTGACAGAAGCTGGTTGTGAGACCAGCTTCTGTCAGACAGGGTGCTTTACGCAAGGGCCAAAAGTTGTCCAGTTCCTGCCGAACCAACCGTTTTCTGACGATTTTTGGCCCGTGTGTACCTGGAATTACACATACTTGTCTCTCTTTATCAAGTTTCTTCATTTATTTTCTAAGGATTTATAGTGCATACTAGAGTCCTTAAAATCGAATGATCATACCCCGGTCACATAATAACATATACACAATAGGGCCAGCATGAGTGGATGTTGATTAACCTACCAGAATATTATGAGAAAGAGAACATAAGGGAATACATATCACCTCCACACAGGTAGTATCCTCCTGGCAACTAAACTTAGTACTTTATGGGAAGGATGCTAACCACTAAGTCACTTTGGTGTTGATTTACTAAAGGTAACTATACTGTGCACTGCAAGTGCAGTTGCTTTATATCCAAAGGGAAGCTCCTTAATGAGGGGAAGCTCTGCTGATTTCTTTCATCTAATCATGTGCAAGCAAAAATGCTCTTTTTTAAATTTTTTTTGCATGTTCCCCTTAGACTTGCAGTGCACTTCCAAGTGCACAGCCTATTTGCCTTTAGTACATCAACTCCTTTGTGTGTTTATAAAAATGGTAATCTCATTTAATAAAATATCCTGTGGCTAAGATGCGTAGCTACAGTATTTTCATGTGCAAAATACAAGGAAACAAAATGAAAAAGGGAGCATCATATCAAAGGTTAATATCAAAGCATCATCAGATGGCTTCTCCATATTTATTACCTTCCTCTTAGTTCTATCAAGCTTGTTTTTTAACACCTTATACTGGGTATTCTATGTCAAGGACAACAGAGGAGTATCTTGGCGAATTGCTCCAAGCAGCGCTTCCTTGAAGTATCTTGTGTCCTAAAAACAGTCAGTGATAAATGATATGTTGCAACATTTTCCTTTTTCAGTCCAGCACATGTATATGATATCACCCTCTCTATCTTGATACTTGTACATGGACCTCTGAATATCAGAGAATAAAGTGAACTCATAACGATCAGACCTTTTATGCGTACTATGGCATTGCTAAGTGTCTGTGGCTGGGATGGAGAATCTTCAGGTCAACCAGGAGAAGGCAATATTCAATTATTTCCAAATTTCATTTTTGGTGCTCCTCATCTTCTTCCTTCTGCTGCCAAGCTTTCTTCTTCTGACCATCGCAGCACTGGCCCCCCACCACCAGCACATGGCACTACCACTCTTGCATTTCTATATGCAGATGGTGTTGCTGTTGCAACAGACTCACGCTCCTCTGCTGGAAACCTTGTCTGCAGCCCTAACAGCCGTAAAGCTTTTCTTATCCACAGTCATTTGCTAGCCACAACTTCTGGGAGTTCTGCTGATTGCCATTTCTTCAGAAGAGCCTTGGCCAAAGAGTGCAGGCTCTACCAGGTGAGGAATGGGTACATGCCAAGTGTCCGAGGAGCAGCAAAAATGTTGAGCGTCATGATGATGCCATTCCGTGGAACTGATATCTGTGCTGCTGTTACTTTATGTGGCTGGGATAGAGATGGCCCTTGCATCTGTTATGTATATAATGATGGAACCCGTCTCTGCTCAGATATCCTGTCAGTTGGATCAGGCTCTCCATATGCCTACAGCATTATCGATGAGGGGTACAAACCTGGAATGCAAGAAGAAGAAGCCCGCCAGCTTGCTAGAAGAGCAGTGTGCCATGCAGGCCGAAGAGATGCCTATTCTGGTGGATTAGTGGATGTGTACTGGGTGAGAGAAGGAGGCTGTGAAATGGATCCTAGAGAAGACTTGGCACAACTTTATGAGCGTATAGTAGAAGAAGAAAAGACAATGATAAAAACAGAGTGCAGCAATTGTCCTCTCCTAAATACTGATTAAAATACAATAAACCAGTTGGCATTTTACATGATAAAGCAAATATAACAGCAATTAATATGAGCATGTTGTTTGATGTACTTTAATATTTATCTGAGTTGATTTTTCCCCACAAATCAATTATCTTGCAAATGATATGCAGCAACTTTTATGTATTTAAAAAGTCATGGCATATTGGATTTGTCCGTTTCATATTTTCAATGTAAACACAGGTGAGTTTGGCAAACAAAGAAGGATATTTTTTAGCACTTTTTATAAAGCCAGCTTGAGTTAAAGAATTATAATTTTAAAGAAATGTTAAGCAAAATTTAATGGAAAGGTGAAATATTTTCCTTTCCTGGAGAAAATGCTGTTTTCAAAGGTCCTCCAGTGCCAGTGATATTTGTGCAAGTCTAGACATTTGATCATGTGATGTTTTCGTTTAATCAGTCGTTTTCATCCAAAAATACAAATACACTACAATACAGGACACCACTTTCTAATTTTTATTTTGTTCTACAAGAATTTTTGTAACTTTTCATTATCTGAGACTAGTATGCAAAAAAAACAAACAAATGATCATTTATCCAATATTCTCATTGTGTGAACGAGGCTTTATACCACGGAAGCTGACATCTTAGCCTCTGTTTGATCTGCAGTTGCTATGGTGCCACACATTTGATGAGATATGACACCAGCCATTTGATGGCTTCACAGTTTGATTTAGAATTAACATAAGCACCCTAGTAACTCTAACAGTTATTTATGGCATGGCTTGTATCACTTGACCCTCCCTTTTAGATTGTAAGTTGTTACTGCCAGGGCCCTCTGATTCTTCCTGTATTGAATTGTATTTTCACCATACTGTCTGCCCTTATGTTGTAAAGCGCAGCGCAAACTGTTGGCGCTATATAAATCCTGCATAATAATGTTTTGGGAAACAGTTGAAGTGGAACTAAAGTTTCTAATTTCAAATATTGAGCAGTCCATTTTTTATTGCAAAAGAGGCATGCAATGTATCTTCTGCAATAAAATAAACCTACCTGCCTGCTCACAGTCTTCTTTAGCAAGGATACTGAGCTGTGCATGCACAGCTCAGTTTACATTCCAGGAACAGATCCTGTGTGTCGGAATGACTGAATTGATGTCTTTCCACATTGGCTAATGGAGTTGGCTGCAGCCCGTTGAGGGATGTCAGACTGTTGAAGGAGAGGTAACTATTGTGGACTGTAGTTCTGCTTCAAACCCGTTTCCCAAAACAGTTACATTCAAGACATGCTGTCACAGTTGCTTGTGTCAAACCACAAAATATGCAGCACCATGGCACCTTCGGATCAAACAAAGGGTAAGATGGAGGGCAGGAGGGTTTACTTCTTCTTCTACACTGGTGGATTTAGTTCAACTTTAAGTACTTTGAGCTGGGAAACTAGCTGATAATTTGTAACCCAGCCTTGCTATTTAAATGTGCCAGACGTATGTTTTGACTTTTTGTGCTGCATTTACTGTCCAATTACTGAACAAATGATCACTACTAATACTATTAGTGTCTAGTGTCATAAGAATTGATGGGATGTCCATGCTGGCGTATCACAGTATCGAAGCCCAGATACAACAGCTTTGAACACACAAAGTGGGATCAATATAGAGTACTGACCAGCAATCAGATATTAGCATTGACAAATGTTTGCAGCTTGGTTGTTTTATTCATTGCCAGGCACCAGTCTTGGTAAAATGTTCTCTTGTCAATTAAAATGAATACTGATAATATATTTTCAATGTATTACTACTTGTTTGCAAGATTTTTCAAATCTATATAATGTATGATTGCCTAGGGCAGTTAAACTGTTTTGCACCTTTCCCTGTTTTAATTTTTTACTTCTGTCCACTGGTGCTTTCTGTATTTTCATTTATTTCAGGAAGCTAGCTAAGGGGTTTATCAAGGGAATTCTTTTCCATTCAGTGTTACACTGCATGTGAGATTTTTGGTCAAGTCATGCTCTATCAGCCCAACTCCAAGGAAATTAAAAATCCCCCCCCCCACACTGAAAGGGTTAAATGCTTGTTTAGTCTAGAGGCAGAGGATTAAAGTGGAGCTTCACCCAAAAGGGAAAGTTCCACACTTCCTCCATTTCCCACCTCCTTTGCCATATTTGGATTTTATATTTTTTTGGGGGGTGGGAGCGGGTACCTGGTTTTGACTCCCTCCCCTGTGCCCGCAGCCTTCTGGGACACATCACAGTTCTCAGAAAGTTGTAGGACCATTGAGATAGCGCAGCCCAACTCGCTCATGCGCAGTGGACAGCTGGTTGTAAAGCCACAAGGAGTCACAGTTGGCTGCCCACAGTTAAGATGCCTGCGCCGTGGACCAAAGACTGGTGAAGAAACTGCAGCTCTGTAAGCTGCGACCAGTTGCAGTTGCACTCCAACATCATTAGCATACCATACAGGGTTAATGACCCTTATTGTATCTTAGGCCTCATGCACATTATGCTCTTCTGAATGCAGTAGAAAAGCAGATGTAAGAATGTGCCTAAAGTTGTGTTTAGATGCATTCTGGTGCGTCAAGCATTTGGTGTTCATTTCATTGGCCAGAATAGTAGTTTGTTCTGGACATTGAAATAAATGAACATTCAAGGGCTAAACGTGCCTAGCATTTCAAATCTACCTATCCACCCCTCACCTCACCCCCACATTCTCCGCCCGCATCACTCACCTCCTAAACAACATCTCTGACTGGATGTCGCTCCATTTCCTCAAGCTCAACCTCTCCAAAACCGAGCTTCTCGTCTTTCCCCCTTCCCGCGCCCCCCCCCCATCCTTACAAACACATGCAGGCTCCACCTCCGGAACATCGCCAAGATACGCTCCTTCCTTACCCCAGACACCACTAAACTACTCGTACACTCCCTGATTATCTCACGCCTTGACTACTGCAACTCCCTCCTCACCGGCCTACCCCAGTGCAAACTCTCCCCGCTTCAGACCATCCTGAACTCAGTTGCCAGACTCATCCACCTCACCAGCCTCTCCACCTCTGCCACCCCCCTCTGCCTCTCCCTCCACTGGCTCCCCATTGCCCAACGCATTAAATTCAAACTGCTCACTCTGACCTATAAGGTGATTCACAACACTGCCCCTAACTACCTCACCAACCTGATTCCCAGGTACCACCCTACCCGTACCCTTCACTCTTCACAGGACCTCCTTCTATCTTGCTCCCTGGTCTCCTCCTCCCACGCATGACTGCAAGACCTCTCCAGGTCCTCCCCCATCCTCTGGAACTCACTACCCCAATCCATCAGACTGTCACCTTCCCTCCTCACCTTCAGGCGCTCCCTGAAAACCCACCTCTTCAGGGAAGCCTACCCCACCCTCACCTAACAGCCGCTGCCCTTCCCTCCTCCTACCACTCCATCCCCCACAGCCATTTCCTCCTGTACCTCTACCCCCTCCCTCCTAGATTGTAAGCTCGAAAGAGTAGGGCCCTCTTACCCCTTGTGTGCTGTTTGATGTTACTGTACTGTTTCATGTATTGTCCCCCCCTCTATTGTACAGCGCTGAGCAAACCCTTTGGCGCTATATAAACTCGATAAATAAATAAATAAATAAATAAATAAAAATTTCAGAGCATTTTAATGCATTTACATGCGTTTAGGCGCAATTTTGGTTTGTTCAGATTTCTGCCCCTGGACACCCCTGCTTTCAAATGCTTATAAATGCCTATGTGTGCATGGACACATAGGTAGGGGTCATTTTAATAAAACTGGAGAGTGCAAAATTTGTTGCAGTTCTGCTTAGAAACCAATCAGCTTCCAGTTTTTTTTTTTGTCAAAGCTGCCCCAGATTTTGCAGTCTCCAGCTTTAGTAAATCAACCCCATTGAATAATATAGAGGTGCATTTGAAGCCAGAAAAAAATATAATAAGCAGGTATTTGACAGCTGCAGTTTGTATGAGGCCTTATATGTGATAATGCTGAAGCTTTACTCACAGATTGGAGTTTTGAAGAATACACCGGAGCAGGGGCGGACTGACAACTCATGGGGCCCCTTGGCAATAGGGGATCATGGGGCCCCTGTGTCCTTGCCCAAACTCAAAAAAGCCTATGAAAAAGGTACCAGGGGCATCTCATGGGGCCCCCTACTGACCCCGGGCCCTCGGGCAGTGCCCGAGTTTCCAAATGGTCAGTCCGCCCCTGCACCAGAGCTGGCTGGAGTGAGGTTGTAAAGTAAGTTCTTTCAGTGTGATAAAAAAGGGATTACCTTGCAACCAAGAAACTTCTAGGTTAGACCTTTAACATAATGCATAGAAAGAAATGACAGTTGATGCCCCCAACCAAAAAAAAAGGGGAAACCACTTTCTGTGACCTGAAAAAGGTAAAACTATGAAATATGAGAGCACAGAGGACAGGCTGACTCCAGTATAGCAAATAGATGTTGGACCTGCGGTTAAAGTCATGTCCCTGCTGCCTCCTTTACTCACCACACGTAGCCACAATGCTTTTGTGCCACAAATGATTCCGGTTGCCCACTTGACGCAACTCATTCAACTGAAGAGGGGTAACCTGCAACCTGCTTATTGTGTGCTGGTGTGGGTTTCAAGGGTTCACTTCCTCACCATCTGTCAAATACCCTCTGAAGAGCAATCTGAATGCAAACCTCTCATCAGAGTGCAATGCTAGTGTAAACTGGCCCTTAAGGTTTCATCTTATACTCCCAGGGGAGCAGAGAATCAGGTAAATACTTTTCAGTCTCCTAGATTAAGCAAGTCACATTTCCTGGAGTGGGGCTTCAGGGTTTCAGTGGAAAGGGTTTTGGAAATGTTGGAACCTTTGTTAGGCTTTTATGGTTGTCTGTGTCCCCAGTGGGGAGATCCACTCTTTCTATTTATCCTTGCGACAACTTTTTCCGATTCAGAAAATAATAGGAAAATGGAAAATGGTATCAAATACCATAATTTTTCTTTCGTGGTGCCAATCCATGGCAACAGACGTGTAGTTTGCCTATTCCATAATAGGAATGCTTTGACCATCTTTTTTTTTTTGCATTAAAAAAAATGGAAGAAAAACATTTGAACATATAATCCTATGAAAATCTTCACGTTCATCTGTTGCTGGCCTGCTGCATTTTTTGGAATCCTGCCTGCTGCATTTTTGGTGCAGGTTTTGTGCGGTAATAAAAACGCAACAAAAATGCACCTCCCCATTCAAATCAAAGGAAAATGCAGCAAAATGTAGCAAAAATGCACCAGTGTTGCAATATGGTGCGGTTTTTGAGTCATATGTCCTGAAAAAAAACACATCACAAACACGATAAAACATATGTGTTTTTGCCGCATTTTTGCTGCAGATCAGTGTGAAAGTAGCTTTACAATGTTGCAGCTTTGATCACTGGGGTAGAGGGGCAAGCTGTAGACTGATCACATCATCTCAGCCTAGGAAGTCTCTGGACTACATTGGTAAAGTTAAAACTTTTGTATATTGTATTGTGTCAGGAGTTTAAACTGGTTCTGCAGGTTTTTTACATTCATGTATTCTATGCATGAAGGTAAAAAACCTTCTGTGTGCAGCGGTCCTCTCAATCCTCACTTGAGCCCCCTCCTATCCAGCGACAATCACAACAGCCTCTGCTGTCTGGGAATTCTTCCTCCTCATTGATTGAGACATTGGCTCCCTCTGCTGTCAGTCACAGCCAGTGAGCCAATGTGGAGAGAGTGGGGGGCGGGGCGGAGCCACGGCTCTATGTGTCTTATGGACGCATAGAGCAGTGCCTCAAGGACGAGCATGTAGCGGTGCCCCCAGGGTGAGTGGATTTCCCTGGGGGCACTGCTCGAGGGGGAGGAGCCTGGAGCTCCGGCAGAGACCCAAAAAGAAGAGGATCAGGGCTGCTCTGTGCAAAACACTGTAAGTATAGGACATGTAGAAGAGGGGGTTACAAATTAATAGTTCATTTTTCGCCGAGGCATATCTATTGCAATGCACAAAGTCTGTTTCCCTGAGAGGATTTTAATTCTTGTCCAAAATATCAGGGAACACAAAAGTGCTATGACGGCCATGGAGGCTTCTCAGGAAATCTCTAATGTTTCTTTGTTACTCTAGTCAAAAGCTGAAGCGCATGTTCTTCTTTGAAGAATGTTACAATCTAAAATGCTATGGCTTATTCATTCAAGACAGGCTGGACTGACTGTGCGAAGATCATATCAGACACATTTATTTGATTTCTTTGACTGTAACTAAAACGACATTGCACTGGGGAACGCAGTCAACTGGTTTAGGAAAGGAAAGGTGTAGAATTGAAATCAATTATGTCTCAGCGAATGCTGTATTGTTAAGAGGGACAGTCTTTCTCAAATAATATTAACAAAGCAATAGTCCATGCTCAGTTAAAAAAATAAAAAGTCAAGTGTTATAGACAGGGTTTGGAAGAATCAAAATGACTAATGTGAGAAATCTTGGAAATGGTAACGTCATTTTACCAAGGCAGAGTGCTTGAATATTAACAAAATAATTATATTTTACAATGACCATATCTGTCATATATTTTGAATGTGTAGACCAGGGGTCTTCAAACTTTCTACACCATGGGCCAGCTTACTGTCCTTCAGACTTTATGGGGTCTGAAAAGTGGCCAATGGGAGTACAAAATGCCCCAGTGTCAGTGGGAGTAAATATTGCTTCACGCTTGGTGGTCAGTGGGAGTAAAAAAAAAGCATGCATAGTGCCTGTGGTTAGTAGGAGAAATATTGCCCCACCATTAGTATTAGTGTCAGGAATAGTTCCCCATTGTTGGTGTCAGTGGGAGAAATAGTTCCCCACTGTTGTTGTCAGTGGGAGAAATAGTTCCCCACTGTTGTTGTCAGTGGGAGAAATAGTTCCCCACTGTTGTTGTCAGTGGAAGGAATGGTGCCCCTTCGAATGTGTCAGTGGAAGGAATGGTGCACCATCAAATGTGAAAGTGGAAGGAATGGTGCCCCATCAAATGTGTCAGTGGGAGTCTTATTGCTCCATTGTTGGTGCCAGTGTTAGAAATAGTTCCCTGCTGTTGGTGTCCGTGGAAGGAATGGTGCCCCAGCGAATGTGTTAGTGGAAGGAATGCTACCTAATCAAATGTGTCAGTGGAAGGAATGGTGCCCCATCAAATTTGTCAGTGGAAAGAATGGTGCCCCATCATATGTGTCAGTGGAAGGAATGGTGCCCCATCATATGTGTCAGTAGAAGGAATGGTGCCCCATCAAATGTGTCAGTGGAAAGAATGGTGCCCCATCATATGTGTCAGTGGAAGGATTGGTGCCCCATCATATGTGTCAGTAGAAAGAATGGGGCCCCATCAAATGTGTCAGTGGAAGGAATGGTGCCCCACCAAAAATGTGTCAGTAGAAGAAATGGGGCCCCATCATATGTGTCAGTGGAAGGAATGGTGCCCCATCAAATGTGTCAGTGGGAGTATTATTGCTCTATTGTTGTTGCCAGTGGGAGAAATAGTTCCCTGCTGTTGGTGTCAGTGGAAAGAATGGTGCCTCAGGGAATGTGTCAGTGGAAGGAATGCTACCTAATTAAATGTGTCAGTGGAAGGAATGGTGCCCCAGCAGATGTGTCAGTGGGAAGATTAGTGTTCCTTTATCGGTATGAGTGAGAGAAATAGTTCTCCACTGTTGGTGTCAGTGGAAAGAATAGTGCCCCAGGGAATGTGTCTGTGGAAGGAATGCTACCTAATCAAATGTATCAGCGGGAGGATTAGTGTTCCATTATCAGTATCAGTGGAGAGAAATAGTTCCCCACTGTTGGTGTCAGTGGAAGGAATGGTGCCCCAGCAAATGTGTCAGTGGAAGGAATGGTGCCCCAGCAAATGTGTCAGTGGAAGGAATCGTGTCTCATATTTGCACGAGGACCAGTGCATCATGGGCCAGTTAAAGGCATACAAAGGGCCACATCTGTCTTGCAGGCTACAGTCTGGAGACCACTAGTGTGGTCCTAAAACACAAAGATGTGTTCTAATTATCCTATACTTCCAGTCATTTTAATGTAAATCCAGCTAATATATGTTATTGTTTTGGAACAATAAAATAATGGGCAAAATATGACATTGTAATACAGTATATGTGTATCTGGTATAAAATGGCGTTATTGCAAAATATTAAATATCTTTTACATGCAGTACCTGTTTGTCATCTGCAACACTAGAAGCAGCTTGTTAGGATTTCTCTCATTCAGCCCCACAGATTGAGCAAGAAAAATCACGTAATTCTCCCCAGATAACTGTTGTATTCTGACGGTTGACACCTGCAGCTCTCAGAATACCCAAACAGTTCAGCCTAATTCTCTGCCAAATAGTACATGCATCCAGTCATCTGAATGGATGCAGGTGCTGTTTGGAACAGAATTTTCTGCCTAGCTTCCTCGACAAAAGTCAATTAAAAAAAAACAACATCAAGCAGGGTGGTGCCAAGAGGGGCCACCCACAGAACAAATTTCAATCAATTCAGTGTGAATCGGGTGACATTTGATCTGTGTATTGTCAGCTTAACTTGTTTTACAATGTTTGCAATTATGCAACCAATAACCGAGTAGTGTAAGGGTTCAAATTGTCAACAAACATTACATAAAGCAATGGCAATCTGAACTGTCAGTTGTGGAAATCAAGAAACAACATTTACTGCAAAAAACATTCTTTTACATTAAAAAAATATGTTTATATGTGCAGCAGAGTTTGCAGCCCCTCTGAAAAGCAATCTTTTTTCAGAGGATTTTAGACAAGTGGTGAGAAGGTAATGTCGCTCCCTCACCTCCTGTTTTAACCCTGTAAATACTGAACCACTGTGCTGCAACTCGAGGTTGTTGCAGGCTGGTTGTGGCGTAGCACTATGCACTCGAATGGGTCATGTTCAGCAGCAGTACGCACAACACAACAGGGTATAGTATTTGTCATGCCCACAAAGCAAAGCATTGCATCTGTGGCATGTGTACAATCCCATTTCGCTGTCTCAGTTTAAAGTGATACTAAAGGCAATTTTTTTTTTTTTTAATTAAACATGTCATACTTACCTGCACGATGCAGTGGTTTTGCACAGTGCAGCCCCGATCCTCCTCTTCTTGAGTCCCCTGCCGGCACTCTTGGCCCCTACCTCTTGCCAGGTGTCCTCATAGTAAGCAGCTTGCTATGGGGGCACCCAAGTAGGCTCGCTCCCGAGCAACTGCTCTGCATGTCCATTCACACGTGGAGCTGTAGCTCAGCCCCACCCCCTCTCTTTTCATTGCCTCACTGACTGTGATCGACAGCCAACCAATGAGGAGGGAGAGTCCCCGAAAAGCAGAGCTCCGTGCACATCACTGGATCGCGATGGGGCTCAGGTAAGTATTAGGGGGGCTGGGGGAGCTGCTGCACACAAAAGGTTTTTTACCTTCATGTATGGAATGCATGAAGGTAAAAAACCCAGAGCCTTTAGAACCACTTTAACCACCTCTCCTGCCTGCCATATAACGAAATAAATGAATGGGTGGCGGTTCTCTCATTCTGGGAGGACGTCATATGACTTCCTCCGACTCTAACTGCGCATGTGTCCCCCCAGGGGGGGGGAGGGGGCGCGTGGTGTTTGGTGGTGCGCTGTGTCTCTGGGACACAGCGGATCTCCGATCAGAGTAAAGTGCCAATGACGTGAGCTCTGTCATGTGACTAGCTGTGTCCAAACACAACTGATCGCATGTACACAAGGAAATGCTGGTTATCGGCATTCCTCTCCTCATGCTGACAGCGCATGAGGAGAGGAGAGCTGGTAATTGGCATTCCTCAGAGGGGACACCTTCACTGATCATCAGGGCACTGATGATCAGTACCCTGATGATCAGTGTAGCCCCATCAGTGCCACCTGTCAGTGCCCATCAATGCCACATACCAGTGCTCATCAGTGCCACGTCAATGCCACATAAAAGGTGCCTACCAGCGCACATCACTGCAACATATCAGTGCCCCATCAGTGCTGCCTTTCATTACCAACTATCAGTGCCAGTCAGTGTCACATATCATTGCCACCAGTGCCAGTCAGTGCTGCCTATCAGTGCAGCCTATCAGTGCCAAATATGAGTGCTGCCTTTCAGTGCCCATCAGTGATGCCTGTCAATGCCCACAAATGATACCTGTCAATTGCCCATCAGTGCCACCTACCAGTGCTTCGTCATCAGTGCCACCTATCAGTGCCCATCAAGGCAGCCTATCAGTGCCCATCACTGCAGCCTCATTAGCACACATTTGTGAAGGAGAAAAATTACTTATTTACAACATTTTATAACAGAAACTAATAAACTTTCTTTTCCCAAAATGTTCTGCCTTTTTTTAGTTTGACAAAAAATATAAATCCAGAGTAGATTAAACACCACCAAAAGAAATCTCTGTCTCAAAAAAAATGCTAAAAATTTGTTTGGGTACGGTGTTGCATGACTGCGCAATTGTCATTCAAAGTGCGACAGCGCTGAAAGCTGAAAATTGGCCTGGGCAGGAAGGGGGTAAAAGTGCCCGGTAGGCAAGTGGTTAAGGCGAAACAGTTGGGGCAACTGTCTGTTCTTACTATCCCCCAACTGCAAGTGTAAATAAGCCTTTACTCAAGTTGATTCCATTGTTAAAATAGCAGGCTTCCTATAGAAAAGCTTAAAGCCATAGTAAGAGAAATCTAGTGTGGCTTCAGTAGATTCTTATTCACTAACCTGGAAAACGTTTGTAGCATATAAAGTCCAAACATCTGATCTGCATTCTGGTTCTGCATCAGTGACTCATAAAGTATTGAACTAACCGGATTAGCATGGTAGACAGGCAACTAGCTTTTTCAGAAGCAAAGGTTATCAGTTGTTATTTATCTCTCACTAAATATGACATGCTTTGTAACCATAATAAAATGTACCTGAAAGGGCCCATTGACATCTTTGGGTTGTAGAAATGTGCAGATTGTCATGGGGCATCTTGCAGTGCCATTCATTTTAAATGACAACTATTAGGGCCCCTTTCATGCCATTGTGCTGCGATAATTGCACTAACTAAAAGCATGGTAATGTGTCTTGGGGCACTGTAGTTTCATTCAAATGCTGCACATAACAAATGCTGCCTGTGTGTGCTTTGTGTTGTGCAGATCACTCATATAAAAAGGCTAACACAAAGGACATTACCAGGCAGTGCACATGGGCCCTTGCTTTAGCAGCAATGCATGGGCACAGCAACACATAATGCTGTTCGCACAATGATGAGCTTTGTGATGTGAAAAAGAAATGTCAGGTCACATTTTCTGTGTTCTAGGGCTGTAGGGGTAAAGCATGTATTACTGCAAAGCACATATGTTGCACTTGTTGGTGTGATGCGATCCCATTCATTTAAAACTGTACCCCAAAACACCTGTGTTGTAGCATCCTCCAACTCACAGATGTCTATTCCATTATTCAACATTGGACATGCTGGAGTACATTCAAGGCTGATTCAAAAATGAATGGGCTGCCTTAATGCATGCCAGCGTGTGATATTACACACGTTAACACACTGTACAAATGTAAATGGGCCCTTAAAGTGTAACTTCATGTTATATATCAAAGCTCCCTTCGACACTCTCAGTTTTATACTCATCCATCCCCAATCCAGCAAGATATTTCTCTTTAGATCACCCTGATTCTTGTTAAATATTTTCCCTGCTTGACCCATGCAAATGCTTTGCAATTCTATTTATTTCTATGGATGTCTGAGTCCACTTTGGCGCAGTTACACTTTGAGAGGTTGTCTTAATGCAATAAGCCTTAATGCATAATAGTGTGCTTTGTTAATGCTGGTATGAATGGGCCCTTACAGTAGTGGACAATGCACCCACACTCCAGAGTGCAACGCACATGCCTTGGTACGCTGCATTTAGAAAAAAAGCTTCAGATCCATATTCTTTTATTTTTGGGCTGAATCACACATTTTTGTAGCTGTAACATGCACATTATCACAAAGTACTGTAACTCACGTTTTGTGCATTGGAGTGATGAGGTGCCATCGATTTTATAGCATGCTGCAACCTAAGGCAATTACGCATTGGTGAGTTGCACATCCCCTACCCTCTTCCCAGTTTTATATTCACCTGTCCCCAATCCAGAAAAATATCTAGATCTCCTGCCTGCTGGTCAGAAATCTTCCTGCCTGCTTCTGCGCATGTGCTCTGTAATCACATGTATTCATATGGACTCCTGAGTGTGCTTTGATGCAGTTACTTATTCTAAATAATTTCTCTTATTCAAAATAATACAGTAAAGTGTTTTGGTGTTGCATGTGCATTAACACAACGCAGTCAGTATGAATTTTTTCCTAATTGTTTTTGGAGAATGGGTGACTACAGAACCTTGCGCCAATCATGACAAAAGATTTTGCCTATCATTAGCCAACACTTTATAGGGTCAGCAAAAAAAAAACCCTTCTGTTCTACTCTGTTCAATGTGGGATTGATACATAGATATGAAACAGCAGGTATAAAAATGTACTCACATACCCATTGCACACAACAAATTGTTTCTTTTACAATTTTATTTTGAAAATAAAATGTTTGTTTTCCACAAATGGCACACGTTGTATTTGATACTCCCGCAGCAAGCGGTGGGAAGACTGGAAGAACTGAATGTAATCTTGTAAACGTCACAACACCCCTAGAAACTCTTTTTTTAGGTGGCCTCTGACAGGGAAGGGGTTAACAAATGTTCCACCTGTCTTTGTTTACATGTCTGCTAGTCTCTGTGAAGAAGCAGGGGCTTTGTCACTGATATTGTATGTCACTCTGTTTTATGGAAAAGAGAAAAATGATCATTCTGCATGTCATTCACAAGAAGTTGATTAACAATCACTCAACGGTTTTAATCTTCAGGAATGGAATTTCTTCGTTTTGCTCCATAGATCTCTGCCAGTGTCCTGAAATGTGGGCCCCATTCCCATATGTCATCCCCAATAGGTTCATCTTCCCCAACTCCTCCAGAGCCGCTGGTCAGCGAGCTAAGGGATCCAGCTGAAGATCCTCCTCCCTCAAACCCATAAACTTGAATGGAGTCATAGGGGGGAGCTACAGGGTCTCGTTCTGCTTCTCTTAGACGGAGCGCCAAAAACCGCTGTACATCAACAGGGGCTGGCTGAGGTGATCGGGGTGCAGGCTGGTGAGGAACCCTTGGAAGAACATCCATTCGGGGAGGGTGAAAGAAGCCTCCAGTGAGGCCTGTTTGAGGAGGCTGCAAAGCTGACATGTCAAATGCTTGAGTGTCTTGTTCTCCTCCACCTTCATCATCATAAGTAATGATGTTTTCTCGGATATCCTCATCCTCACATAGAGACAGGGGGGATGGTTTGTGTCTGCGCTGTAAATAGAAGAGGGATACTAGGGCTGACGTGGAGAAATATGAGTAGGATAGGAAAAATGTGATGAGGCAGAGAAAAAAAATTAAAACAATGGAATTGTGTTCATGGATGGATATGTTATAGATGAAGAGAAAACAGAGGTTTTACTATTAATATTAAACACTTCCAGTAGGAACTATGTAAATCTTGTAATAGGTAACTACCGTGGCATATACAACAAAGCTGCTTGCCTGACAGAACGTACAAGACATAACTAGGTTCCGTGAAGGAAACAACACCTATGTTTTTTCTAATGTGAGCAATTGTTTACTGAGGTGTAAATAATCTGAAATTGCTGTGGCTGTAAACAGTCAGTCCACCCATTTCAGAAGGCTGAATCACCATTAGATTTTTAGATTTCTTCTACTTCACTTGAACTGAAAGATCTCTGTGAAGGAGGTTGCAGCAATGGTATCCATGTCACGAAGTCTCACTCTCCATGATGAATTTTCCATTAAATGCAACACATTACAATGCAACAAGAAGAGACAATAGCCAGGTAGATGACTCCAAAAATGAAAGTAGAGCAAAAACTATTTCTGTAGATATGAACAGAGTGGGGAAGCGTTTTAAACAGGTTTTTCCTGGCTTCTTCATGTCAGCATACTTTTCGGTCAGCTCCAACCCCTGACCCCATGAGTACCATGCTACCTCAACATTCAAGGGATCCAGATTACCTCCCCATCAGTCTGTCCTCATTTTGTTCTCACCCCAGGATCTCCTGACTTTATTTTAGTGGTAAGTTCTCTTTCTTTAATTCCCATGCAGAATCAGCCTCTCATGTTTGAAAGGCTTTAGTATTGGGGTAAGCCTCCTTGGCTTGGAAGCACTCATGGTGCATGGGTGATTGGTTTAAAGCCTAAATGGCTCTAAAGACTACAGGTGTGTTTGTTCCCTTGTTGTGTGCTTTTATTGGTTACATCTGTGCACTATTTTCTGTTATGTCTCTCCTGTGTTTTTTAAATTCTGATTTTGTTTTTTCCCTGCTGCTGGCTTTTATATTTAGCCTAAGAGCTACAAAAGAGCCAGAGGCACTGTTCTGTCAGGAGGAGAGATAGAGAAAGGAGAACTATTAAAAAAGCATGCAGAGAATGATTATAGTCTCTATCCTTGTAGGGGAAAAAGCCCTCGGAATGCCAGTTGTCCGTCATCCAAGGGTCAGATCCAGATCCTTGCAATCATCCTGCCACTATTAAGAAAGAACTTCTCACAGTGGATCCTCGGCCTCTTATAGGAGGTCCAGATTCCACTGAAATCAATGCTCATGTTTCATGACATATGATTGGTCTCCTCCTTGTCTGCTTCAGGTTTTCTGCTTGGTCTATGGTATCCTCTAAGCTGGCTTGCAAAACTTGCAGCAAGAAAGCAACACAGGAAGGAGAGATGAAGTCTCAAGAAGTACGTTCATATATTTGCCAGCAGTGCAGGAAAGTTTCCATTTCTATCTGACAGCAAACCTGCTATCTCCTGCAGTGGTAGTCGCAAGAAAAGGAGGGTCCTTCAACATTGGCACATATCAGTGAAGACCTTAGAGCAGGGCCAATCCGAAAGATTCTGAGTCTGAAGGGGATCTATATGTTTGGAGTTCTCTCAAATGCTCCTATATGTTAACACAGTGAAGGAAATATTTGATTGGATTGAGGAGGTGGAGGCTGCCAACCAAGCAACCTTAAAGAAATCTATGGGAGAGTTTGATATTCTAAAACTTGTGCACTCAAGAGTCTAATGCAGCTGTGCATGGTAGCCAATCAGCTTCTAACGTCAGCTTGTTCAATTAGGCTTTGGCAGTAAAACCTGGAATCTGATTGATTTCTATGCAAAGTTGCACCAGATTTTGCACACTCCAGTTTTAGTAATATCCCCCTATGCCTTCCTTTCTGCTTATGTCTTATATTATCGCATTAATTGAAGAGGAATGGCAGAATGTGGAAAAAAGATCTGTCTTCTAAAATACACTGCTCAAAAAAAATTAAAGGAACACTTTTTAATCAGAGTATAGCATTGAGTCAATTAAACTCCTGGGGTATTGATCTGGTTAGTTAAGTAGCCGAGGGGGTTGTTATTCAGTTTCAGCTGCTTTGGTGTTAATGAAATTAACAACAGGTGCACTAGATGGGCAAAAATGAGCCGACCCCAAAAATAGGAATGGTGTTACAGTTGGAGGCCACTGACATTTTTTCTCCTACTCATCTTTTCTGACTGTTTGTCACTAGTTTTGCATTTGGCTAGGTTCAGTGTCACTATTGGTAGCATGAGGCGATACCTGGACCCTACAGAGGTTGTACAGGCAGTCCAATTCCTCCAGGATGGCACATCAATACATTCCATTGCCAGAAGGTTTACTCCCAGCACAGTCTCAAGAGCATGGAAGAGAGTCCAGGAGACAGGCAGTTACCCTAGGAGAGCTGGACAGGGCCGTAGAACGTCCTTAACCCATCAGCAGGACCGGCATCTGCTCCTTTGTGTAAGGTGGAACAGGATGAGCACTGCCAGAGCCCTACAAAATGACCTCCAGCAGGCCACTGGTGTGAATGTCTCTGACCAAACAATCAGAAACAGACTTCATGAGGGTGGCCTGAGGTTCCAACATCTTCTAGTGGGCCCTGTGCTCACTGCTCGGCACCATAGAGCTTGATTGGCATTTGCCATTGAACATCATAATTGGCAGGTCTGCCACTGGCGCCCTGTGCTTTTCACAGATGAGAGCTGGTTCACCCAGAGCATGTGTCAGAGGTGAAAGGTTCTGGAGAAGCCATAGAGAATGTTATGCTGCCTGTAACATCGTTCAGCATGGCCGTTTTAGTGGTGCGTCAGTGATGGTCTGGGAAGGCATATCCATGGAGGGATGCACAGACCTCTACAGGCTAGACAATGGCAACCTGACTGCCATTAGGTATCGGGATGAAATCCTTGGACCCACTGTTAGACCCTATGCTAGTGCAGTGGGTCCTGGGTTCCTCCTGGTGCACAACAATGTATGGCCTCATGTGGTGAGAGTATGCAGGCAGTTCCTGGAAGATGAAGGAATTGATACCACTGAATGACCCCTACGCTTGCTTGACCTAAATCCAATAGAACACCTCTGGGATATCTATCGTGTTTCGGGCCATCTGACTCCGCCAGGTTGCACCTCAGACTGTCCAAGAGCTCAGTGATGCCCTGGTCCAGATTTGGGAAGTAATATCCCAGGACACCATCTGTCATCTCATTAGAAGCATTCCTTGATGTTGTCAGACATGCATACAAGCACATGAGGGCCATACAAACTACAGAGTACCATTCTGAGTTGCTGCAATTAAATTTCAGCAAAATAGACTAGCCTGCTGCATCGTTTTTACACTTTTGGTGTCTTTGAATTCAGTCCTCTGTAGGTTGATCATTTTCATTTTCATCAAACGATGGGACATCCTTACATTCCTAACACATCACCCAGACCATATCAGTATAGGTATCCAGCATGATATTTTTCCCCATTGAGATCTCATGTGTTTTTGAAGTGTTCCTTTAATTTTTTTCAGCAGTGTACATTCTCAAAGTTGTATCCTTTTCACTGGGTAGAATCTTTCTTGTAAAATTCTCCCCTCTTGGTCCTTCTAGATTCCTCCCTTCAGAGACTGGCGTGACATGTCGCTTCACCTCTGGACAATTCCATTGTCGTGTTCACACCATGGGTGCAGAAAAACTGATGGAAACTGACACGTAGATTTCACTTGTGGAGACATCCAGTTTTCATACGCGCTCAAATGAGTTTTATACACATTGCATATTCCTGCACAGAAGAAAATCTGCACAGTACTAGAGTTGTGGTGTGAACAGGGCACATAGAGAACAATTGATTTCATTATGCCCTTGCAGAACACATGCAGAAAAACTGATGTCTCTGCACCATGGTGTGAACAAGTCCTTACACACAGGCAGCCCTAGCTTGCAGGCCTCCTGTGGCACAAATATCTGTAAAGAAAGCATTAAAGAAGTGAATGGAGAATATTCAGACAGCTCTGGAGACCATTGTGAACAGGTCAGCCATAGCTAAAGTGCTGCATGATGTAGTAAACAGCAAGAAAGAAAAAAAAAAGTCCCCTGCAAGGTAATGTCATATGTGTGCTAGTATGCATCGAATACCAATACATTATGAAGGACTTACCTTAAAATGAAGCCCTCCAGTGGTGCACTGTCACCGCTGTAGAGGTTTCAATCTTCACCCAGTCCTTCTTCCGGGTTTGCGATCACCAGCCATCTGACAGGCTGGGCCACAATGGCGTCACTCCCCCCGCATGCGAGCAGGAACCCCCGGGCCTTGGCACACAGCTCTGAAGGAATGGCACTGGTATGCAGTTCCTTCAGAGCACATGCGCTGGCTTTACAAAAGAGAGAACATCATTTAGGAGACATTCATTTTACCTAAAGGTAAGCTTTATTATAACTTAGCTCATGTATCCTCCTATATCATCATAATGGCTGTTACAGCTAAGGGGGCTTTATGGCTTAAACAAGTGTCTAAGACTTCATCCAAACCGGACTACAAAATTCCCTACGATGGCAAGATGCTCTTCGGTAAAACCTTGGAAGATGCTATCCAGAGAGCAACAGGTTGATTCCACAGTATATAAAGAGGAGACAATCCTTTCAATCAAGAAACTTTTACAGTCGATACATACATGCTCAGGCTTATAGATTAGGGAAGAACTTTCTCAAAGCAGTTTGGCAGGGCACGCATGTAAGCAGGTCGAAATGCTGGTTAGTGAGATAGCTGCTGCCCCAGCCAGCAGGGAAACATTTAGTGTTACTAAACCCACAACAGTAAAATCAGTCTGTATATGCAGTAAAGCATGCTTGTTATACTCACTATGGAACCTAAGGGATTAATCCTCCACATTGTGTAAAAAGGCTGTTTGATCCTTTCTTCCCTGATCCTCCCATTCTTCTACTGTCCCCAATCCATCTGCTGATAGTACAGAGCTCTAGGAATCACTCTGCACATGCTCAGTTTACTGTGTATGGCTAGAGAGTTTTTTTGTTCTTTGGGAGGTGCATGTGATCAGCTCAGGGCCAATCCAGACAGAGGGTCAGGGGTTATGCAGTCTCATAGGACAGTCATAGCAGAAGGAAAACTCCTTCTACAAGATTAACCAGTGCTCAGCTGGACACTGAAAGAAGTCACAAGAATGCAATATACTGCTGAGAAAAGGTATTTAGCAGTTTATATTTACTAAAAGAATTGCATTTCTATGTTGTGTGTACTGTGGAAGACCACATATAGTGAATGCAGAGTTCTGGGTTTAGTAACACTTTAATATGGTTTCCTATACTTTTTGCTGAGCTCTGCCGTTTTCCCTGTGCTGTACATAAAAGGGGTAGAGGGCTCTGCCCAGACAGTCTGCTGCATGTGAAAGAAGACACAGACAAGCCACAGCATGTAATCTCTAGCTGCTTACAGAGAAAAGAGAAAGGGAAGCAGTTCCACCACAGAGAGCAAAGCTGCCTTCTGTCACATCCGCCATGCAGGGGGATTGCTGGGACCTGCAGTCTGCTTTGAAGTTACCAGTTCTGGAGATCTGTCACTGTGGACTATGCCAAGCATGGACTTTCATCCTGTGCAGGTATGCTGGGGCAGCCACAAGCCTAGGTAGGGATTAGGGACATTAGGAAAAGACTGCACTGTTTTCTGTTATGCTGAGAGTTTTTAGTAAAGCTTTTAAAACTTTGTTCTTGCCTGGTCTGAATTTACTACAGCAGTGTAATGCAAGTAACTGGCACATTCCACACATAGTCTACAACCTGGGTCGGTGAAGCACATTGGGGTATGAACACAGCAAGTGGTTACCAAGGGTAATGGGGGTTTACCAAGCAGTCTGTCGTTAAGCTTGCACCTGTGACAGGTGGATCAGCCTCTTGCAAAGAGGAAGTTTTTGTTGGCACGCTCTCAGTGAGCTGTCAATCTCCCATGGCAATGAGAGCAGCACAGGTGCTTAGCCTGTGCAGAGGTATGGAAATGGAACAATTAATACAGAGCACACATGGAGCCAGCTCTTGTTGCTCGGCAGGGCTCCATTTCTCTACTGGGAGTGAGGTAGCGTAGATATGCTGGGCAGGTGGAGTGGGCATAGGCTCAGCATGTCCCTCCTAAATGCAACACATTACTGTGGAGGTGTACATTGACACAGGGACAAGAAAGTTAACTGGAGTACAGTTTATTGTTCAAGTGTAAAAGGTGTACTGTATGGCAATCTCTTAAGGTTGAGTACTTCTCAAAAGCCTTGTCCTGGGGCATTGATGGATATGGCACTGTAAATGTATCCCATGTGTAAGGTGAGTGACCTTTTCCAAGGTGCCAAGAGTAGACAAGAAGAACTCATCCCAGGGTAGAGCTCTCATGTGATCCACACTTGGCACCCAGTGAGGAGGGGAACATGAAGAGAGTATCACCCACCAACTGCCTCCTTACACACAGGGTTTTTTCCCATGTTCAGAAATCATAATCAATCCACCCAGTCTGACAAGCCTTCAGATGATTCATTTTGGGGTCTTGTTTTCCCAAAGGCATCCAGTTGGGGGCAGACTGTCCCTGTTTTAAAGGATCTGGGAGGGCAGGATTTCAGATCGATGGGTCTTGAATATTAAAAAATAGAGAGGGTACCCAATTGAGTTTATCAAGAAGTCTTCCAAGAATGTTGTTGTGGAAACAAAATTGCCCACATCTCCAGAGAAAATAAATTATTATAAGTCGTAGCTATCTGTCTGGTCCCAGATGAAGAACAGGACAGAGGTTTTTACTCTCCAATATTTTTAGTCACAAAAAGTTCCTGAGAAGTTCAGGCTGTCTTGGACCTGATAGCTCTAAACTGTTTTATCAAATTGAAGAGGTTTTGTATGGAATCACTGGAGTCCATCATAGTGGTAGTGTCACAGCAAGACCGGATGTTATCCATAGACCTTGCAGATGCTTACCTTCATATTCCGGTGGCAAGGTCTCACCAGAGGTTTCTCCAATTTTCAGTTCATTGAAGGCACTACCAGTTCCAATATCTACCATTCAGGCTAGCAACAGCTCCCTGGACCTTTTCAAATATGTTGGCAGTTGTGAAGGCTCTTGAAGGCTGTTGATCTGCAATAGTTGTGAAAATTTCATTACCTACATGACATCCTGCTGCTAGGAGATATGCCCTCTGTTCTGGAGACACACAAGGTTATTCTTCTACAGACTTTGGGAGATTTGGAGTGGCTAGTGAACCTTCAGAAGAACCACCTAGTTTCAATGCAAATGATGGAGTATCTGGAAGTGTGCTTCAAAACCTTTGCGGCCTGAGTTTTTCTTTCTTCCAGAAATATGTGAGGTAATATTTCCCAATCCCAGAAGATGTACACATATATACTTCAACATTGGTGAGATTGTGTATGACATACCTGAGGAAACTTTTGGCCACCATTCCAATGGTCCTTTGGGCCAGGTGGCATCAGGGACGATTTCAGTTAAGCTTCCTAAACCTCTAGAATTGAATGTCATTTTCCCAGCATTCCCAATATTCTGCCTTTCTCAGCCCGGCAGGACCTTCTTTGGTGGACTATCTCTCAAAACTGGAGAGGCGCCTGGCTCTTAGCACGTGGGCCATTCTTACATCAGATGTCAGCCTACAAGGGTGGGGCACTCACTGTGAGGTTTACCAGATTCGAGCAAGATGATACCAAAGACCTTCTCATTAATCCAGTCTCCGAGAATTGAGAGCTCTCGTGTACTTTACTCCACTGTGACAAGGCAAACAGGTGAAGGTTTTTATGGACAGCAAACAAAGATATCCTATATTGCTAAACAATGTGGGTCCAGAAATATGTCACTTCTCCAGGTTGTGGTGGAGATTTTTCAGTGGGCACAGGGACATGTCACACATCTAACAACAATTTTCTTGCCAGAGAATCTCTTGACAGATTTCCTGAGCAGGAGGTTTGCAGACTAGAACGAATGCAGTGTGAAGAACTCCATCGATAGATCTTATGGCAACATGCCAGAGTGTTCACTTTCCTCTCTTCAGCTCCAGATACAGGGAGAAATTGTCCAGAACACCTTTATGTTCTGGGAGTATTTCCTGCAGGTTTAGGTGTATCTTCCAAATGCATTGATACCCTGAGTTCTCAAGAAAATCCAACATCAGGGAGTCAAGGCCATTATAGTGTTACCTTTCTGGCCCAGATGTATCTCCTTCTTCTAATGGCCCTGGTTCAACCTTGGCATCTTCCTTTGAGAAAAGGCCTGCTCAAACAAGGCAAACTTGTGCATCCTAACCCTCAGCATCTTTGTTTAATGACATAAAGTTTGCTAGGGGCAGGCTGATCCAAGCGGATCTTTCAACCAATGTAGTTGATGCCTTGTTGAATTGCAGAAAGTTTTCAACCAATGCTACTTATTTCAGGATATGGTGAAGATTGTACCAGCTTATGCAAAAGGAAGGGGTTGATCTTCTTAATCCAAACATTAAAGAAGTGCTTGGTTTGCTCCAGTCAGATCACAAGAAAGATCTTGCATATCATTCTTAAAAGGTGCAAGTTTCAGCTCTATTAGCCTTGACCAATCTCAGGTGGATGGATCATCCTCTGGTTCAATGGGTCTTGAAGGTAGTATTCAGGTTAAATCTACCTGTGAGAATTTTCTTCCTAAAATGATATTTTCCATCAGTGCTCCTGAAGAAGTCTCTATTTTCTCCTAATTCTTCCTGTTGTATCAATCAGCGTCCTTGGAAAGTAGTCTTTTTAACAGCAGTTACCTCTGCCAGGAGGGTATCAGAAATCACCTGCAGGGAACCATTTTGCCCTTTATTAAAAGGCAGAGTAATTTTGAGGCCTTCATCTGAGTTTGTCCCAAAGGTGTCTTGAGTTTTTGCATTTTGGCAGTCAGGCACCCCTTGAATAAGGTTAATCTTATTAGAACTTATTTGGCAAGGACTTGGTCCTTATTATGTTGAAAAACAGTGATTCTACCAGGGGTCAGAGGGCAGAGCTGACACAGAAATATGCTGACATGAGCATAGGTCGAGAAAGGAAAACTGATAGATATGAAAAAACAATTTTGGGAATCTCCCTAAAGAGGATACAGGCAGCATTAAACACTTAAGGCCTCATTCACACATGTAATCCCTTATTAAGTTTTCCTAACCGCAAGACGTTTTCTGGGAAATATAAATATGCTTCCCAGATTATATTTTCCTCTGCTTAGAAGTACCTGTTTTAATCCTTTGTTGCCACCAATTTAAGGCTTATAATGATGGCAGCACAGGTTTGTAGGCAGCATTTACATGTTTACATTAGTATAGCCATTGTTTAGAGTTTCTAATCGTATTCTGGATACACAGAATTCTATTTTCTTTAAACACAGCTTTACTGAACGACCCTATAGGCAGCTAAGCATCCAGTCTGAATGATATATTCTTCAGATTTTTTTTTAACATATAAAAAGTAATTTTAACATATATTTTTACATATATTTGTAAATGCATTCCAAAAATGTAGATTTGTATTTTTAAAGACATACAGTATATTTGAAATGTATTTTTAAAAATATTATTCAAATATTTTGTAATAAAACCGCATTTCAACATGCAGTATATATATATATATTTATTAAAACATATTTTGAATATATTGAATATGTCCAAAAATTGTAGCATTTCAAATATATGGAAATATATGTGGGAAGAATATTTTTAAAATACATTTCAAATATATTTTTCTTCCATATGGGTTACATGTGGGAGATACAATGGGGGCACTCAGCAACTAGCTGTGGGCGACAGCCCCATTGAAAGCAAAGGCAGGTATTTGGGTCTGCTCATGGAGTGATTAGATGTGGGAGCTGTCAGTCTCCAATTGCTTTCAACCCCCACTGGGTCTTCCACATGTAATCGGTAACGGCCCTTTTCACAAGTGTGAATGGGGCCTTACTAATAAAAGAAGAAATGTTGGAATAATTACCCAAAAGGCTAAATGCACAAGCCAGGATAGCCAGCAGAGCAGGAGTGCTTAGTCCAGCAGCTGACCCTGTGGTCATATGACAGGTTAAGACCGCTCCGCCTGCCTCACAGTGACACAAAGAGACCGTCAGGGTGTCAGTACTGCTAAGTGGGGGATCTCCGCTGTCTGTGATTTCTATGGGCACTAAAAAGAGGTCCCTCTGGGATCTCCAGAAGCTGCTGTGCTTCACCAGAAGAGACGCGCTTCCATCTAGTGAGAAGGGAGGAATTAGAGATTAAATACTGGCATGCATGGGAATGGATATATTAATAGAGTGTAGAGGGAATGAATAAAGTAGCATTATTCAGAGGTTACTGATGAGCACACCTTTGTTGTCTTGAATAGTGAAGTTTCCATCAGATGCAGCAGCTGGACTTCGAATAGAGAAAACACCATTCTCAACATCTGCATCTTTCACTTTGATAGTCTGGATGATCTTTGGGAACACAGCGACAGAATAACAGTATAATTTACAATGACAACAGAATACATGGTTTTGTGGTACAAAAAATAGCATCACACCACTGCAGACAGTAGATTCTAGCATACAAACCGCTATTATAGTAGAGATGTGCTCGTATTTTGTCACCAGAAAATTACAATCTATAGATTGCCATACTGAGATAAAAAAATATAATGAATGATTTCAGTGTGAAAATTATAGGATGACATAAATCTAGGTATTTGAAAGTTATTACTGTATCATAACAGATTTCTATTCACATCTCAAAGCTGAATTCCAGTTATGGATTATATTGTCATAGTTACATTTAATCAAAGTAAGTATGCATGTGTCGTACCTGTGGAATATCTGTGGAAGCAGATTATCACTGTAGTAGTCACCACTACTACAGTGGGTTGTCAACATACGTATATCTGCACCTACATCCCATCATAATGCATAATAGATGTGTGAGATGGGGAAACAGCTCTCATTGTTTGAACACTGTTTGTGTGGAAGTAAATTAATGTTTTGACTGACATTCTGCGGTTAAGCCACAAGATGTCACTGTTTTTCTAACACAGGCTCAGACTGCATAGATATTTGTATATTCATGAAGAGGTGGGGTTTTGCACTCAGAGTTGGAGTTTAGTGAACAGGAAGAGGAGACTGCAGCCATGTTTTGGACGATGCTGAATGAAGTGGCCGTGTGAGCTGAGAATCCGATGACATCCAGGTGTGAATGTGTCCCTCACTAACCAGAGCTGCAGCTGAGTGAAGCTGATGAGATTGCTACCAGGAATGCTGATGAGATTGCTGCCAGGAAGGCTGATGAGAGCAGAGGAACTAAGCAACATATACGGCAAGACCGCATGCATGTTGGAGAGAAATTTGTTCTGTTCAGAGTCACCAGCGGATGAAAAGCAGACCCGGGTCGGTAAGATCGTGCACGCACCTCATTTCAGTGTTGGCGCCTTGAGACTGAGTCCAGGCCGATAGTTAGGGTCTCTGTTTGTGTCAGGCCACAAGTGTTGTTACTGATTATTGGAAGGACTCCACAACTCAAAGTGACATTTCACATTGGAGAGCTGATGAAATCCTACAAACTCAGAAGGAATGCTCAGAAGGAATACTCAGGCACGTGCTACAGGACCAGTTATGGGAGGGGGAATACTGTAGATTTGTGTAAGATTGTAAGCTGTTGTGCTGCACCGCAGGCTAGCCCATACCGTACACCCATACACTGATTCTTGTTCTTTTAGGGTAATAACGGGTAAGGTGTGGCAGCTTAGTTGTGCCCACCAATAGGAAATTACTTCACTTTCTACCTTCATCCATCAGAAGGCGCCGTGCTGTGCAGCACAAGGGTCTCAGCCTTTGGGCTGGGTGTATGTAAATTTATTGTATGATCCCAGCATTTGTGGTTATGTTTATTTGCCACATCTAAGTATAATTCTGTTGTGGCAAAAGCTGGTGTTGGGGTTGCTTTCCTCGTTCGTGACTTCACTGTATCCTGGGGAGCCCACCCCGGTACACGGCTTATAGATGAACCAAGAAAATTAGGGTATTTTATGGTGCTTATCAAAAATATTAACATAGGAAAATTTGTCAGAGAATTTCTAAAATTATTCACAGTTTATTGAGTTACAAAATTAAGAGTCATAGTGTTCATAAAAGCTTCAACAACACATGTGCAAAGCTGGAGAGTGCAAAATCTGGTGCAGCTCTGCATAGAAACCAATCAGCTTCTAAGTCATATTGCCAAAGCCTAATTGAACAAGCTGAGTTTAGAAGCTGATTGGCTACCATGCACAGCTGCACCAGATTCTGAGTGCTCCAGTTTTAATAAATCTACCCCATAATGTGGTTGACAGTAGTAGTAAAACTATTGTCAACCACATTATGTGTTGTTGAAGCTTTTTATAAACACTATGGGGGTGATTCACTAAAGGCAAATAGACTTTGCACTTTGCAAAGTGCAGTTGCATTCAGGAAGTGCAGTTTCTCCAGGGCTTAGTATTATTATTATACAGGATTTATATAGCGTCAACAGTTTGCTCAGCGCTTTACAATATAACGGGAGACAATACAGCAACAATACAGTTCAATACAAGAGGGTTAGAAGGGCCTTGGAGCTTACTAAATGAGGTAAAGCTTCACTTTACAAAGAATACCCAATCACGTGCAAGAAAATAAAAAAAAGCAGCATTTTGCTTCAATATACTGTAAAGAGTAATAATTGGCATACAAGCGCTAGGTGGAATAGAATAAGCAGCTGGCATTAAAGGTCAACCTCCAACCCTCATAAAACATACATATTCAGAAATGCAGCGCGAATAAAAAAAAGGTGACTTATAAAACAACAAAATAAAATATAAATGTAAATATAAATATAAAAATGCGCTGTGGAGCGATACGATAAAGGTGATAATAGCATCTAGATATGATGCATAAGGTGCGATAGTGACATTCAATAATGAGATAAATGTCCAATATATCAAAAAGGTGAACTTCCGTGCTTCCAGTGGATGTGGGAATGAGTATATATTGCACTAACCAGATAGCGCAATTAAAAGCGCATTTGAGTACATAGACCACTCCTGGTCATCAGCATCCTAGGGGTAACCTCGGGGATCATCTGGTATACTTCCGCACATCAGCTGATCATCCGACTGCTACTCTCCAGATCTCCAGGATAACTCCAATCCAAATGTAAATGGACTAAAAATGCCATATTGGTGAAGCCGCGCATGCACGGTACGTCTGAGAGAGGCCATCTTAGTGACTGGATTCAGAAAGCAGACAGAAGGGGAGAACGCACTTGTTATATAGTTGAATGGGTCAGTATTCAAATGGATGGACACAATCGGGGCAAACAATAAAGATGCATTTACATGGCAAATTGGCAAAAGCATCGAAATGAAATAAATGCATCTTTATTGTTTGCCCCGATAGTGTCCGTCCGTTTGAATACTGACCCCGTTCAACTATATAACAAGTGCGTTTTCCCCTTCTGTCTGCTTTCTGAATCTGGTCACTAAGATGGCCGCTCTCAGACGTACTGTGCATGCGCGGCTTCACCAATATGGCGTCTAATCACCGTACCGCGCATGTGTGCGGCTCCGTATATAAACAAACTCCTGGCTATGTTAAGCTCCCTTTGATAACATGCACGAGCATGAAACATGTTAGGGAGGAGCCAAGCCAGTTACGCCACACCGCACGGGCCACGAGGAAGTCCGGCGGCCATCTTTGGATCTGTTTTCCATATGCATCTTGCCAGATGTGAATGCATAGTGTTTTTTGCTGTCATTTTTTGCCATAATAATAAAATATACTGCACTATCAAGCACTCTTTTTCTGGCTCATTTGTTCATGAGCATTTTAAGGTGGATTCCTTTAGTGCATTTTTGTCCATTTACATCTGGATTGGAGTTATCCTGCAGATCTGGAGAGTAGCAGGCGGATGATCAGCTGATGTGCAGACGTATACCAGAAGATCCCCGAGGTTACCCCTAGGATGCTGATGACCAGGAGTGGTCTATGTACTCAAATGCGCTTTTAATTGCACTATCTGGTTAGTGCAATATATACTTATTCTCACATCCAGTGGAAACCCGAAAGTTCACCTTTTTGATATATTGGACATTTATCTCATTATTGGATGTCACTATCGCACCTTATGTGTCATATCTAGATGCTATTATCACCTTTATCGTAGCGCTCCACAGTGCATTTTTATATTTATATTTACATTTATATTTTATTTTGTTGTTTTATAAGTCACCATTTTTTATTAGCGCTGCATTTCTGAATATGTAGCATTTTGCTTCCACATGATTGGATGATGGAAGTCAACAGAGCGTCTACACATTTACTAAGCTCTGGAAAAGTGCACTTTGCAAAGTGTACAATCTCTTTGCCTTTGGTAAATCAACTCTTCTGACTCTTTTAACTTTGTAATACAATACATTGTGTATAATTTTAGAAATTCTCTATGTGACAGATTTTCCTATGTTGGTATTTCTGATCAGCACTATAAAAGTCCCTAATTTTCTTGGTTCATCTATGATGAACTACTACAGTGATCGGCACTATCTTAAGGGTCCCCCGCCGAGTGTCTGCCATGCTACATAGTGAACACAGGGGGTCACTAGCACCATTCACAGAATGTCTTGCATTTTTTTCAATGAAGGCAAGGCATTCTCTGATTGGATGAGGTGGAAATTGTGATGTCACCACCCCCCTCTCCACCTTGTTCAATCAGAGAACACCTTTCATTGAGAAAAATACAAGCCTCCGTCTTCAGCTTGTTCAGTTAAGCTTTGACAATAAAAGAAGCTGATTGGTTGTCATGTACATCTTCCCCTAATTCAGTTTGCTTCAGTTTTGATAAATTCCCCTCATTTTATCTTTTTTTCCTAATCTCCTAATAAGAACAAATAAAGATAAAATAGGATGATCAGAGCTTGATTTAAGCTAATATCCGGGTCACTGTCAGGGTAATCATCGGGATCAATATGTTTAGGTAGGCTTAAAAAATGTTTTTCTTAGTGTCAGTGTGTTTTAGATAGGATTAAAATTAAACAAAATGCACACTAATATAATATACACACATGCGGTATCACTGTGCATGTCAGGAGTAGGAGAATTTTTTCTGTTTTTTTTTTTTTATTTGATAATGGGTCATGGACATTTACAGCTAAATTTAAAAAAAATATTGTTACCGTTTTGTAATGTTAGGGGGGGAATTAAGTTCACCATTTACTTCTGTCCAAGGATTTGATTAGGAAGTAAAAATGTGCTTGGGGAGGGATCGGTTTGACTTCTGCACTTGAGATCCATGGTCTGCATGTCTTCCAAATCTTTTAAGTGCCAGCCTTCCTTCTGGAATCTTAGTTTTGCAAGCTATTGAAAATGTGGGATTGGACTTTAATTAATATGTTTTTTTTTTTATTTTACTCCTGGATGATTTTTTTCAGTGGACATTGAGGCTGATCTCCAGCTTTTAGTGCAGTTTAAATAGCTTGTTCGGACCAAGCTAGTTCAATAGAACTATTAACTTCATCATGAGATGCAGCGGCTATGTGCACTGTATGATCTGTATGTGGCAGGGGCGGACTGACCATTTGAAAACTCGGGCACTGCCCAAGGGCCCGGGGTCAGTAGGGGGCCCCATGAGATGCCCCGGTACCTTTTCCATAGGCTTTTTTGAGTTTGGGCAAGGACACAGGGGCCCCATGATCCCCTATTGCCCGGGGGCCCCATGAGTTGTCAGTCCGCCCCTGGTATGTAGTTCAACCAGCAGGACAGGAACTCCCCTCCCTGCTCTCTCAACAAAATCGATTCGTGCTGAGCGCTGCTCACCCATTCACAGGAAACTTTGTACTCTATGAATTCTAATCAGCTGAGGTGGAGATCATGACGTCATCTGTCCTCAGCCAATCAGGAGAAGCTTTGTATTCATTCAGAAAACACAAAAAGTCCTGTGATTGGCTGAGAATGCTTCATCTCCTAGTGAAGTAAATTGCTTGGTCCAAACAAACTATTTAAATTTCACCAAACTGATTTCTGAAGGAAGCACGTTCACTCGCTAGCCTCAGCATACCCAAGCTGTCATGGACAGTACCCGGTCACAATTTAAAATCAGGAGTCAGTGGAATGAGCTCTCACAGTGATAACATAATTGGGAGCCCATCCCACTAACTCCCGACCTTTCCACTACTCTTTTTCCTTAATATACATTTCTCTTTTTTTTACAAGCTGAACATACCTGCCCAGGTTGTGCATTATCACATACATGTGGTTTATATAGTTCCGCAAGTGTTGGAGGATTGTCATTGATGTCTAACACCTGGATCACAACGCCAACTTGTGACACCTGGGAGGGGCTGTCTGAAACAACAACACAACACAGAGACACAACAAAGAGACACAACGAAAAAGAAAAGAAAACACCAAGACAAAACAAAACACACAACAGAAACATATAAAACAACACGATATATGAAAACACAAAACAACACAAAAAGAGAAATGCGTCAGTTTGTGAGTTTGAAGTGTGGTACAACAATATATTCCTATGAAGCTTGATACTTTTTCTAATTTAGCTACAGTAGAGAATTTCTCTCACAGGGAACAGATCAACTAGGGCTGACTAGCAGATAGAGTCCTGCCTGACTTTCTCATACTTTATTCACAGAAATGCAAGAACTACCTCAACCTTTCTCCAAGCCTTAGGAGAAGTTTCCTACTGACACATCCATATGGAAAGGAATGTTCCTTTTTTCTGTAGGGAAAGAGGCATGACCCTTAATTGGTTGCAAATATCTAGAAGCAGTTATATGCCCATACCTTTCCTGATTATAACTATCAATACTCTGACTGGTTGCATCACTTGCAAATATAGCCAGGTAGCGAAGACTTAACTGTATAATACAACTGGCTAGCCAACCATTTACTGTACATGGCTATTGCCATCAGATGTCTGCCTTGTTTGCAAATTGGACAAATTAACAGAATTAAGTCCCAAAACTATGGGTTGCCTATCTGATAAAGAATCTAAAACTAGATTATTTAATAAATGGTCTCACTCACCGTTCTCAGTAGCCATTATAGTAATACTGTGCTCTTTCTTGATCTCTCGGTCCAAGAAAGTACTTGTTCCAATTGTTCCATCTTCAGGGTCAATAGAAAAAAGAGCCTCAGGGTCAGAGAGGGGATCGATGGAGTAACTGTGAGGAAAATAAAGCATCGAGAAGAGATCTATTAAAGAAGGATTTAGAATGTTTTTTTTAATTGGAAACAGTGTTGCCTGATATCAAATGGGACACGTTTCTATGTTGTTCAAATTATAACAAAGGGCAAAGCTTTTTTTTACATTTTGGATAGAGTGGAGAGGTATTAGGACATCAGTCATGTGTTTATTGCTGTCTGTGCTCCTGTAATAGAGATTCACCCTTTCTATTTTTCATTTTTACCATTATCTCTGAAAGTAAAAATGAAAGAAAATCACAAATTTTGGGTTGTCCCAAGAAGAGGAATGGAGGGGGAATTTTCCAATGGGAGCACTAGTTCTGGTGAGAGGCATGGATCCTCACTTTGGAGAGATTTCCTCTCACTTCCTGTTTTGGCTTTGTGATGAAAATTAAAGGGAAATCTCCCCATGAGACAAATTAACAAAATGAAAAAAAGTTGTTATACAGTGGGGATCGAAAGTTTGGGCACCCCAGCTAAAAATTTGTATTAATGTGCATAAAGAAGCCAAGGAAAGATGGAAAAATCTCCAAAAGGCATCAAATTACAGATTAGACATTCTTATAATATGTCAACAAAAGTTAGATTTTATTTCCATCATTTACACTTTCAAAATAACAGAAAACAAAAAAAGGGCATCTGCAAAAGTTTAGGCACCCTGCAGAGTTAATATCTTGTACTGCCCCCTTTGGCAAGTATCACAGCTTGTAAACGCTTTTGTAGCCAGCCAAGAGTCATTCAATTCTTGTTTGAGGTATCTTTGCCCATTCTTCTTTACAAAAGTCTTCCAGTTCTTTGAGATTTCTGGGCTGTCTGTCACTCACTGCTCTTTTAAGGTCTATCCATAGATTTTCAATTATGTTGAGGCCAGGAGATTGTGAAGGCCATGGCAAAACCTTCAGTTTACGCCTCTTGAAGTAATCCCCCGTGAATTTCGAGGTGTGTTTAGTATCATTATCCATTTGTAGAAGCCATCCTCTCTTTAACTTCAGCTTTTTCACAGATGGCATCAAGTTACCATCCAAAATTTGCTGAAATTTTATTGAATCCATTTTTCCTTCTGCTCGTGAGATGTTCCCTGTGCCACTGGCTGCAACACAACACCAAAGCATGATTGATCCAACCCCATGCTTAACAGTTGGACAGAGGTTCTTTTCATTAAATTCTGTGCCCCTTCTTCTCCAAACATACCTTTGCTCATTCCGGCCAAAAAGTTCAATTTTAACCTCATCGGTCCACAGAACTTGTTTCCAAAATGTATCAGGCTTGTCTATATGTTCATTTGCAAAGTTCAAACGATGATTTTTGTGGTGAGGACGTAGAAGAGGTTTTCTTCTGATGACTCTTCCATGAAGACCATATTTGTACAAGTATCTCTTTATAGTTGAATAGTGTACCACAACTCCAGTGTCTGCCAGATCTTTCTGGAGGGATCGTGCAGTCAAACGTGGGTTTTGAATTGTTTTTCTCACAATCCTGCGAGCTGTTCTGTCTGATATTTTTCTTGGTCTTCCAGATCTTGCTTTAACTTCCACTGTTCCTGATGACTACCATTTCTTAATTACATTCCGAACAGAGGATATTGACATCTGAAAACGCTTTGCTATCTTCTTAAAGCCTTCTCCAGCTTTGTGAGCGTCAACTATTTTCAGTTTCAGTTTTCTAGACAACTGCTTAGAAGACCCATGGTGCTGATTGTTGGGGCAAGGTCAGATGAATCTGGGCATTTAAAACCTTTGAGATTGACATAACCTGGTCTTCCCAGACGATGATTGAGAACAATCCATGACACTGGCAGGTCTCAGCTTTGCAAAGGGGGCAGTGCATGCTATAAATTCTGCAGGGTGCCCAAACTTTTGCAGACGCCATTTTTTTGTTTTCTGTTATTTTGAAAGTGTAAATGATGGAAATAAAATCTAACTTTTGTTGACATATTATAAGAATGTCTAATCTGTAATTTGATGCCTTTTTGAGATTTTTCCATCTTTCCTTTGCTTCTTTATGCACATTAATACAAATTTTTAGCTGGGGTGCCCAAACTTTCGATCCCCACTGTACTTTAAAGAGAACAAGTCACAACTGGGCATTTAAAGGAATCTAAGTATTCTTTTTTAATTTTGTTTTTTCATTGTTAATTATTAAAACTGTTATTTTACAGGCGCTAAAAGTAACTGTCATCATGGTAAGCAAACTAGTTATACCTTGGTAATTGAACCTTTGGGCATAAATTAAATACTTCAGATTGTAATGGCTGCACCCACTATCAGAGTTGTATGAACTGTATGTAACATCAGCCATATGCAGTATGCATTGCTCTGTTCCAACAGCTGTAAAGGGACTTAGCGGCACTACGCTCATAATAACATTTCCTTCATGCCATACAAAGCAGAAATCAAAATAAGAAACATACTGTATATCATGCAAAAAAATCCAAGTGCAACAGTCATTTTGTTTCTTCCTTTTGCTACTTCAAACAATAATAATAATACAACTATTTAAAAACACAAAACCTGGCGTTAGGCTAGGTTCACACTGCTGCGTTACAATTTTGATTCGACTTTCAGTGTGATCATGTATTGCTACATGGATGCAACTTTGATAAAGTTTGTATATTTTATGGGGCCATAACTTGCACTGGAATCACACCAAAATAGTACAGGAGCCTTTTAAAAAATCACTTGTGCTGAGTTGCATTGATGTGAACGGACACTATTGAAATGTGATTTTCCTTGTAGTGAGATTCTGTGTGACTCAAGATTCATCTGAAATCCCTCTAGTGTAAAGCAGGCCTTAGGCTTTAAAAACAGGCCAGGTATTGGTTCTAGCCATATCCACGCTCACTGTTCAGCATCGCTTATGATAACAAATATATCATTAGGTAGAAATCATTTCAAACAAGTGTTCCTAGACTACAAAAATGTGTATCATCATTGAAGGAGTCTTTAAATTTGAAATCTTCTCAATAGCCTAAAACCACTAGTCATAGGTTTAAGGCTGTTTATAGATTGGCACATTATTATATTTTTATATTTCAAGCGACACAGATATATTGTTGCTATGGCACAAAATACTGGTTTGTGTGATTTAATTTAAGCACTTTCCCTTTGGTGGTCCCCCTCCTTCAATTCTGCATACGGTATACTGAACCAAAGAGGACTGAATGATCCGATTATGTCAGAGCTTTTTCATAAGCTGAAGCAGAAGCCAGCCCTTCTGTGTATAGAATACTCAGTTCTCACATCAGTCAAAGTAAAGTCTCTAATGTAAGTTGACTGTAAGGCAGCGTAAATAATCAGATTTTAGTATCACTGAACACATATTAGTCCAGTATTATAGGTGCACAATTTCAGCTCAGGTTAAAATCTGCAAGGTGCTGCAGATGCAAAGTATGACTAAAGAGACCCTGTCACCAGATCATTCATTTCAACAAAAATCTACCCATACAATTATATGTGCAATTAAATTATTTTATTTTTTTAATTTACCTGCAAAAGCCTTGTGAAGACATCCAAAAGCTCTATGACTACTATTGAGCACCGCCATATTGGATGTGATGTCAGCAGGCTCATCAGATTCAGAGCTGTCACTCAAGTGACACACTATAGTATCCCCCCCCTGCATAAAAGATAATGTAGGGATGTGAGGGGAGGGGTAGAGGAATTAGGCCAGCACAGGCAGAAGAGAAAGGTTAGAATGTGCATGAATAAAGGGGGAATTGTGGTTTTGATAGGGTATAGAGTTTTCCTGGAGTAGTCAAATTCCCTAGCACACTGAAAGTAAATAAATACAACAATAGAAAGAAAAAGCACTACACAGGTATGCATTTAAAATACCCTTTTCTGTGCTCCCCCTTGCAGTTTTTTAAATTGGTGACAAGGTCTCTTTAAATCAACTCTAGTAGTCTAGTCTAGTAATCACGCCAAGTTCAAAGGTAAGCTTACACAGGGTTTCTTCTCTTTGGTTCCAGTAGTCAAACAGAGCTGTAGGTGAGGAAAATATAGGTATGTACAGTATGTGCAGCTGGTGGTATGGCCAATAAAGTGAACCAATGCTTTGTCCAAGCACTGGATAACTATAAAGAGCCTAAGTTCAATCAGTCAAAACATGAGAAAAACCTTGGCCTGTAGAAGTACAGTCATGGCCAAAAATATTGGCACCCCTGCATTTCTTTCAGATAATGCAGGGATTCTCTGCCAATCCCTCCACTGGCTTCCCATTGCCCAAAGAATAAAATTCAAAACATTAACAATAACATATGAAGCCATTTATAACTCTGCCCCCAATTACATCACAAATCTTGTCTCCAAATATCACCTAAACTGTTCTCTCCACTCCTCCCACGACCTCCTGCTCTCTAGATCCCTTGTCTCCTCCTGCCATGCCTGTCTACATGACTTCTCCAGTGCCTCCCTCATGCTCTGGAACTCTCTACCACAATCTATTCAACTATTGCCTACTCTGCTCACTTTTAGGCAATCTCTGAAAACCTATCCCTTCAGGGAAGCCTATCTTGTCTTCAGCTAATAACCAAATCTTCTATTTCTCCCATCAGTTCATCCCCCACAGTTATCACCTTGTGTACCATTAGCCCCTCCCTCTTAGACTGTAAGATCCAAGGAGCAGGACCCTCCTAACCCTTTTGCATTGAACTGATAGTTGCTGTATTGTCTCCATTTATATTGTAAAGCGCTGAGCAAACTGTTGGCGCTATATAAATCCTGTATTATAATAATAATGCACCAATTAACCCAGAAAATTGTTGCAATTACAAATGTTTAGGCATTCTCATGTTTATTTCTTTTGTTTGTATTGGTATGACACAAAAAAGTAAACCAAAAGCCAAATCTGACAAATTCCATGAAAAACCCCATAAATTGACTGGACAAACTTATTGGTAGCTTCTCAAAATTGTAGGAAATAATTGCATTCCAAGTTTGTGATGCTCCTCTAATTTGTAATCAAGCTCACCTGTATCAATTAACACGTGCTGATAATATAGAAATCACACCGGCCTTCCTGTTATATGTCTCTGTGTGCCAAATGGAGCATAGAGAAGAGAAAGAGCAGCAAAGAATTGGATTTGAGGATTTGAGAACAAAAATTGTGGAACAATTTGTGGGACAATCTCAAGGTTACAAGTCCTTCTCCAGAGATTTTAATGTTCCTGTGTCCACTGTGTGCAGCATTGTCAAGAAGTTTACAGCCAATGGCACTGTAGCTAATATACAAGGATGTGGACAAAGAGCAAAATTGATTAAAGATTGCAACGAAGGATGGTTCAAATGGTGGATAAAGAACCTTGTTCTACTTCCAGACAAATTCAAGCTGACATTCAGGTACAGGGTACAACTGTGTCAGCTCGCAGTATACATTGCCATCTGAATGAAAAGGGGCACTATGGTAGGAGACCCAGGAGGACCCCACTGCTGACACAGAAACATAAATATGACAGATTGGAGTTTGCCAAAACTTACCTGAGGAAGCTAAAATCCTTTTGGGAGAATGTGTTGTGAACAGACGAAACAAAATTACAGCTTTTTGGTAAACCCATCATTGGGTTTACCAGAAAAAGAAATGAGGCCTTTAAAGAAAAGTATACACATCCTACAGTCAAATATAGTGGAGATTCACTGATGTTTTGGGGTTGCTTTGCTGCTTCAGGCACTGGATGTCTTCACCATGTGCATGGCATTATGAAATGTAAAGACTACTTACATAAAGTTGGGTGTCTATCAGAGGTCATGGGGATTACAACAGGACAATGACCCAAAGCACCTAGAAATGGTTTCAGACAAAGCACTGGAGAGTACTGAACTGGCCAGCAATGAGTCCAGATCTCAATCCCATAGAGCACCTGTGGAGAGATCTCAAAACAGCAGTTGGGAAAAGGAACCCTTCCAATCTGAGAGACCTGGAGCAGTTGGCGAAAGAAGAGTGCTCCAAAATTCCAGTAGAGAGGTGTAAACTCATTGATGGTTACAGGAAGTAATTGATTTAAGTTATTTTTTCAACGGGGTGTGCTACCAGATATTAAATTGAAGCTGCCAATAATTTTGGGGGTTTGCGTGGAATGTGTCAGATATAGCTTTTTGCTTCTCCACCTTTTTTGTCATACCAATACAAACAAAAGAAATAAACATAAATATGCCTAAACGTTTGTAATTGCAACAATTTTCTGGGCAAAGTGGTGCATTATGTGACAGAAATGCAGGGGTGCCAATATTAGTGGCCATGACTGTATATTGCTTGTTTTTTAATGACACTGCATGTCTTTTTTATGACATATATTTTAATAAATTGAATTATCAATTGCTTTTTACAACACTGAAATATGAACCCCAGGGACGTAAACAATATACTTCAGGTATTAACCTAAATGGATGCTAGTTCAATTTTTTCAACTGCTATGAACAAGTTTGGTACTGACATTCATTATTTGTACAGAATGATGTAGTCACAAAGTCATTAGCCTTCATGGATTGCTACAAACGTTATCTATAAGGCTTACATGTATATTTATAAAAAAATATCTAAAAGCTTCATATCTGCTAATGTACTTTGAACATTGCCAGTAATATAATTTACCTTAGAGAGCTGCTTTGTAAATCAGGGTCTCTAGCTTCAACCACCCCCACAAGAGTACCAGGAGGGAGGTTTTCTTGAACACTTAAAATATACGGGTCCTGGGAGAAATATGGTGGCTCGTTCACATCTCCAACTGTTATTCTCACTGTTGTGACATCCTTAAAAGGTCCACGGCGAATGTATTGGGGATCAATGACAGTATTCATCACTTCCACACGGAATGTGAAGGACCGGCGTGACTCAAAATCTAGAGGCTGGAAAAATGAAAAATGAAAAAAGAGAAAAAAAGGGAAGGGACTGCATAAAAAAGAGAATAGTTGAGGATGCAGGTTGGATAGTGTAGAACACACTTTGTTGTATGGTATCGGTTAGTCTACAGTCCCTTTAGTGCTGTAGATTAGGGCTGTATTAAACCCCAAAACAAAAATGTATTTATCCTTAGATGTGGTATCTGCATTTGTTTTCCATTTTAGTTCTTTTTTCCTTTATTTTCACCTGATGGTCATGCCAGTAAATCTATTATTTTTCAACTTTCTTTAGCAGGCCAAGCTGTCCAGCAAAAGTAGCAGTTAGATGAATGAGACAAACCTTTTAACATTAACTGAGGTGCTTACAATGGTCACCTTTTATTTATTTGTTTGAAACCTTTATACCAAAAACAACAAAACTGTTGCAGTAACTGCTTAAAAAGTGTTACCAAGAGGTTGGGTTTAATTTGTTAGTCAAGTCCATCTAAATCAGTGGTTCTCAACCTTCCTAATGCCGCGACCCTTTAATACAGTTCCTCATGTTGTGGTGACCCCCAACCATAAAATTATTTACCCAGTAATTATAATTCATGAGTGTCGTTTTACCTCCAATACTGCTGCTTTCAACACAGTAGCTGCTTTTAACAGAGTAGCTGCTTTCAACACAGCAGCTGCTTTCTACACAGTAGCTGCTCTTTACACATCGGAAATATGTGTTTTCTGATGGTCTTAGGGGACCCCTGTAAAAGGGTCATTCGACCCCCAAAAGGGTCGCGACCCACAGGTTGAGAACCACTGATCTAAATCTTCTAATGCATTTAACACTACCCTTTCTCTGGAATGACAATGCTACTGTCCACAGGTATCTCTGTTGCACTTCTGTCCAGAATGTAGACCCCCTAAGACAGAAAGTGTGTTATTGGCCAAAACACTAGTTCAAAATAAAGGAAAAAACGTAGAAGAAAATAAAACGAATGTAGCTATCACATTTTAGGATCACTAAGTTGCAATATAATAAATTTTTATTTTTGTTTATTAACACTGCTTTAGTGCCCGGTCATACCGGTGCTATTTGGGAACTGAAATCGCATCTAATGAATGTGAATCGGTGTCTTAACATTTGCAATTTGCTGCAGCAAAAAAATAGAAAATAAAATAGTTCTTGCATTACTTTTTCTGCAGTTTTGTTCCAATTTCACATACATAGAATATAATGGAAATCACACAGCAAATTGCAAGAAATCATTGAAAATCTTCACAAGTAGCAATAAAGTCTTCAGAAACTGCACCTGAAATTGCACAAAAAATCGTGCGATTTTAAATTGCAGCGGTGTGATCGCTGACTTAAGGTGAGTTTGAACTATCACCATTTGCTTAATTGGCCAGGGGAGCTCAGGATGGAAGGTGGAAATGTTTGTGTTTTCTTTGTACTTAAAATGGACATTTAAAAAGAAAAAAAAAAATCTACATCCTGATTTACTCAACAGGTGTGCTCATCATGAAATATTATGAAGAAAAAACTGCATATATGGGGTGTTAATCTTACCTTTTGTACTCTGAGAATGCCATCTTGACCAACAGCATCTACCATTACACTAAAGGTGTCTCCAGCATCACCATCTAAAATACTATATGACATTTCGGCATTTTCTCCAATATCTGGGTCATGTGCTCTAAGTCGGCCAATCAGAGAGCCAGGAACAGTGTCCTCTAACACAGTGAACTGGTACAGGCCTGTAAAAAAATAGATTGAATCTTTTGATGCCTCTGTCCCTAATTTTAATGATTATTGTTTCTAATGCCTATTTAATTATCTGGTAGCCCAGTATATTTCAAAGCATTTCAAAGAGATTAATGATGTCAATAAGAAGCTAGCCATTTCAAAACGATCATTTTCAGTGCCTCTATAAAATGTAGCATCCAGCATATTTAGGATGTTCTTGACACAGTTCTTGAAATGTAACCTTATGCTAGACTAGGTATAGAAGTCAGCCAAAGGATTGAAGAATGTCAACCCACGTTAGAGTGTGGCTGAATTTCTTCAAGGGAGAATGTCACCAGCACACCGAGGATCACCATTATGGGTCCAAAATTTTTAATGAATGACGGATCACATAGTTACAGCAAGGCAATGTTTCAGAGTCTCGCAGGACCCTTCATCAGGCAGGTCACATGCCTGATGAAGGGGTCCTGCGAGACTCCGAAATGTTGCCTTGCTGTAACTCTGTGATCATTTATTAAAACTTTTAGAACCATATTGGTGATCCTCGGTGTGCTGGTGACATTCTCCCTTGCTGATTCTGTTCAGTTCCAGCCGACGGTCTCTGCAGCACCCACTTATACACACAGCCATTTTTTACACAGGAACGTGTGCGTTTGGATTGTAAACTTGAATTTCTTCAAGACCACTAGCAGCAGACTGTACAGTTGCACAAGGGACTTTGGGGTATATTTATAATAGATATGACTTAGGTGGGTGCTGTTATCTCTCCTCCTGTCAAAAAGACTTGGAAATAGCTCTCTTTTATCTATCTGTTAGTGAATAAGTATTTTTTACTTGACCAGTAGTTGAACTGAAGGGTCCAAAAATTAGACTATCACAGGAGACTTCTGATAAGTACCACTAACGGCCACTACAGCAAAATGGTATAATTGAGTTTAATTTTAACCCCTTACTTATTGTGAGCCAAGCACGGGATAGTAATGAATTGAAGAATACTTGGCTGAATAAGACAGAACCTTTTTAGGGCTGAGTAGTCAACAGCAGATAGCAATATTTATATTTGTTAGACTTTCCATATGGCCAGTCCAAGCCCACAGGTGTCATATTTCTTAAGTATATAACTTTCACTTGTATATGTATCTTTATAAATTAAATAGAATTAGGAGAGAATTCCCAGACTGGTTTGCTATAGCAAAGCTTCACGGGCTGGAATTTACAACAGAAAGCACAAACACAGCAGCAAAGCTTAAGATAAAGTGCTTTAATTCCTTTTATTGGCATAATCAGAGCTACTTCAGCCACTGGCTAAGTCAGACTAGTCAGGATGTAAACAAGGAAAAAAATGCCCTGCCTATAAGAGGTTTTGGTATTACATATGATAAGTTCTACAGCTGGAGCTCAAGGTAAAAACATTTTTTTGAAGTAAGGTTTTTGTGTGCTATCACAACCTATGTATTTCAGTTGACATGCATCTAGTGTCATCTAGTTATACATTCATAATTCACATAAATATTAATAATGTTCATGAAAATACATGATGGCATAAAAGTTTAATATCCTTACTTTGAGGAAATTTGGGTGGATTGTCATTTACATCTGTTAAGGTGACTGTAACTGTGGTGGAGCCTGAGAGACCTCCTACATGGCCTCCCATATCCTTAGCCTGGATGACAACTAGGAATTCATCTTGGGTCTCACGGTCCATGTTTGGGATAGCAGTGCGGATCACACCTGCAGAGACAGGCATGATTTAAACAGATATTACAATGTCTGAAAAACTAAACAACCTAAACCCTTTTTAAAGACTGTAGAAGAGTAAATACTTTTGTAGGGCAGCACAGTGGCTAAATGGTTAGCACTTCCGCCTGGCAGTACTAGGGTCGTTGGTTCAAATCCCAGCCATGGCACCACCTGCCTAGAGTTTGCATGTTCTCTCCCTGTGCCTGCGTGGGTTTCCTCCCACACTCCAAAGACATGCTGGTAGTTTAATTGGCTCCTGTCTAAATTGTCCCTAGTATGTGTATGTATCAATGTAAGTTAGGGACCTTAGATTGTACGCCCCTTGAGGGACTGATGGGACTGATGTGAATGTACAATATATATGTAAAGCGCTGCGTAAATTGACGGCGCTATATAAGTACCTGAAATAAATAAATAAAGTTTTTACTGCATTACGTGACCCTGCTGGGAAAATTTCACCTCTCTGCCTGTGACAGCAACACAAGAAATGAGGGGAGCAGTTGTCAGTAACGCAGGAAGTCACAGACAGTAATATTAACCAATAAATAAATATCCCTTCCCGATAGAAAGCTATAGCGCTGCACACTGCAATATAATTAACACAGGGTTTCTATCCCTCCTGTCCAATTTAAGAAAAAAGTTTTGTCTGGAGTTGGGCTTTAGGGTAGAAAAGAAAAACAATGGTTGCCAGCAATAACATATTGAACAAAGCAGGTTTATTTATTCCAAAAAGATTTCTCAGATTTGTAAATTTTTTTGATAACATATTATCATATAGTAACATATAGGGGTATATTTGACAAGGATTCAGCAATAAATTCAAACAACATTTATCTAATGTCAGGCAGTTTCTTTACCAAGATTTTGCTGCTTCCCTCCATTTATCACACTGGTTTTTGCTAGTTTTCAAATAATATTCACCCATCAGAAATAGCATCAAACCCAAAATATGTTTTTTAATGGGAAAGTGCTTTACGGTGCTATTCATCCTGTTTATTATTCAGTGACTGTAAATTCCTTCACCCAACATTCCCTTTCTTTCACCTTGCACGTTAATTAAACTGTTCCCTGATTTGAAGTAGGGAATGTGAAATAGAAAATGCTTCTTTTCTTTGGAGCTGTGATTCTGGAGAGTGCTGAACCTGTGTTTTTAAAAAACGACCTCTCCCCCTTCCTCAAATAAATGAGCCCACCTTAACAAGCATGTTGGTCTTGTACACTATATTGCTAAAAGTATTGGTCGGTCTGCCTTTACACGCACATGAACTTTAATGGCATCCCACTCTTAGTCCGTAGGGTTTAATATTGAGTTGGCCCACCCTTTGCAGCTATAACAGCTTCAACTCTTCTGGGAAGGCTGTCCACAAGGTTTAGGAGTGTGTCTATGGGAATGTTTGACCATTCTTCCAGAAGCACATTTGTGAGGTCAGGCATTGATGTCACACGAGAAGGCCTGGCTCACAGTCTCTGCTCTAATTCATCCCAAAGGTGTTCTATCAGGTTGAGGTCAAGACTCTGTGCAGGCCAGTGAAGTTCCTCCACCCCAAACTCGCTCATCCATGTCTTTATGAACCTTGATTTGTGCACTGGTGCGCAGTCATGTTGGAACAGGAAGGGGCCATCCCCAAACTGTTCCCACAAAGTTGGGAGCATGAAATTGTCCAAAATGTCTTGGTATGTTGATACCTTAAGAGTTCCATTAACTGGAACTAAGGGGTCAAGCCCAACCCCTGAAAAACAACCCCACACCATAATCCCCCCTCCACCAAACTTTACACTAGGCACAATGCAGTCAGGCAAGTACCGTTCTGCTGGCAACAGCCAAGCCAAGACATGTCCATTGGATTATCAGACAGAGAAGCGTGATTTGTCACTCCAGAGAACATGTCTCCACTGCTCTAGAGTCCAGTGGCGGCATGCTTTACACCACTGCATCCGACACTTTGCATTGCACTTGGTGATTTAAGGCTTGGATGTAGTTGCTCGGCCATGGAAACCCATTCCATGAAGCTCTCTATGTATTGTTCTGCTACTCTGAAGGCCATATGAAGTTTGGAGGTCTTTTGCTATTGAATCTGCAGACAGTTGGTGACTTCTGTGCACTGTGCACTTCAGCCGCTCTGTCATTTCATGTGGCCTACCACTTCATGGCTGAGCTGCTGTTATTCCCAGTTGCTTCCATAATACCACTAGGAGTTGACTGTGGAATATTTAGCAGCAAGGAAATTTCACTGAGAGACTTACTGCACAGGTGGCAACCTATCATGGTACCACGCTTGAATTCACTGAGCTCCTAACAGCGGCTCATTCTTTCACAAATGTTTGTAGAAACAGTCTGCATGCCTAGGTGCTTGATTTTATACACCTGTGGCCATGGAGGTGATTGGAATACCTGAATTCAATTATTTGGAGGGGTGACCCAATACTTTTGGCAATATAGTGTATCTCAACATCAAGGAAGCTACTGCCAGATATGCTGATATCAGCCCATATGCCTTTCAACATTGGGGGGGGGGGTGTGTGCTTTGAGGGGAGTTCTTCGCAAAAATTGGGGTCCAGGAGGGGAGACTGGCAAATGGGAATCTCATGTTCCACCTATGTGCCCCCCCCCCCCAAGTAGGTGCTCAGCCCTCCCTATTGAACTAGTCTACAAGTGCTTGCAAAGCCAAAGTGGTAAAAAAAAAAGACACCACAATGAAAATAACCTTTTTTTTCCCCCTTTTAAACTAATATTTACCAAGTCACTGAGCACCTAAAACTGTGGCTATGACACTTAGCACATACAACTGTGCCCAGAATGGATATCAGCATAGCAGAGTGGCTGCACACTTCCAGCTCTCTTGCTATGTGAACACCAACCAACACATAATATTTTTTTAACCTTTCTTTTTTCTTAATATTACCTTAACCCTCCTAATGTTGAAGCACTACACAGCCTACACTGTGTTCAGCACCATGGAAAGCATGTTGGCAAATGAATGAAAGGAGATTCCTATTAACAAGATTCACCCAAAGATTAATTCCCTCAAAGATCTGTCCATAAATGAAAAATAGCTGCTACTGTACTACCAAGATTCATTCAAGCAAGATTTGATCTAAAAAGATTTTCCCAGCGAATACATAATATAAAGGACTAATCCTGAGAGAAAGTGCTGGGCGAACCCCATCAAATCTAATTTTATAATTAATATGCTTGTAACAGAATATAATTCAGTTGTGCGTAGAATGCAGTATTTAAACAAACAACATAAAAATGCATACAGCACAGTGCAGTTTTATTTTCCTATTATGCTACATCAGCATGGTAAATCCAGTTCAGTTGTTATAAAAGATATAAACTAAGGACAATAATTGTTCAGCAAGCCATTAAATTTAGGAAATACTTAAATGCCATAAAAGTTAGGAGTAATACGCCTGGCAAGAATAATAAATTAGGCATATGGTAATTATTTTATACCAGTGTATCTGGGGTATCACACCACCTCCCCCTCACTTTCTGAAATGTATTTGAACATCTTATGTTTTTAAATTTCATCTCCTCATTAGGCAGTATGTTATTAATTAGACTTTTCCATAGCTTAAGAGATCTGGATATCAGATTAATATGATGTAATGCTATGGACTTCTTCGCTATGAACGTGTCCCTTTCAAGTGTACCCTGGTGTGATGTTGCCATGCTTGCAAAGACAAAAGCAAGAACAAGCTTGGAAACCTGAATACTGCGTTTGAATTCATAAGCTAATAAATAGATACTAGCTTCCACTAATCTGAACATTTCTGAAAAAAATAGTAAAGAGTTTTCTATATGAAAATTGTTTTACTGGTGGACAAACACTTTGGTGAATCGTTACCTCCAGAATATTAATTATATATTAGTCACACAAGCAAATTCACTGAAAGCTACCTGTTTGTGGATCCACAGAGAAGTATGGCTGCCCTTCCAGCACAGTGTATACAAGTCTAGCGCTGTTGCCATATGTTGGGTCATCGGCATCACTGGCTGTCACTTGGATCACAGAGGTCCCTATAAGATTCAGTTTGATTATTTTTTATCACCAAGTATCAGTTAAACACATAAACATGCATCTAGTAGTATTCAAATATCAGTACGCTGTTCCTGATATATATAGTATATGTCATATACCTGCAATGCCACTACTCCATAGTAACTGGAATTGATTTAAAAACTGGAAGAAAGAAACTTGTCTTCCTTACCCATGGTAGTCAGTAAACTTTCAGTGGTTTCTCCTGCTAATTTTAAAATGGAAACAGACATTTGTCTGGTTATTACTAGGCAACTGTCTTCCTCTTTAAAAATTGCAGTCTGTGGTTTCCAGAAATATGGAAACTTAGGTTGCCACAAGCAACATGTAAACTTTTTTTATCTGCCTTTTTGCTATGACTGGTAATCATATGTTCTGTTGAGTGATTCCCTACTGGTATACTTAGCAGTATATGAAAGAAAAAGACAAAAAAAAGAATTGGGAAAATGTCAACATCTAGCCAGAGTGTTCCTTTATACCATATCGTCTATCAAAGATCTAACTATTAAAGTACAGCTAAAGACAAGAAAGAAGTCATTTGTTATAAATTGAAGTGTCCCCTTTGGAAGTTTTCCCTCTATTCCTGTACCTGTGGCAATTCAAAATGCTGTATTTTCCCTCAGTTTCTATTCTGGTGACATTAGTAACCAGGACAAGTAGAGAGCGCAAATCCCTTCAGTGTGGAAATAGACAGCAAGAAAAATGTTTTAGAGGTTCTAACCTAACAAAAAAGATTTTACCTTTAGAGAGATTTAAAGGCAGAATCATTATAGGCTGGAAGTACACTGGTAGCTTTTCGAATGAATGTTCATACAAAAAATCTTGTTGGTACATTCGATAATGATAATGCCATCAGAGAGTTGCCAAAAGTACTTCAAAGTTTTGTTTGCTTTTAATATTCAATTTTGAAAATAATGGAATTTCCCAAAGGAAAATCATTTTACACTGATAGAAATGGGGTTGTTAGAGATACATTTTCCATCCTACTCCTTTGAATGTTGTCATCACTGCAGTTGAAACAAATGTCCACTTGACCTCACTAACCATTAGAAAATTGAACGAACGCTTCAAAAAAATTTTTTTTTTACAAAATTCTGGCATGGCCAACTTTAGACCTGATTTGCTGTAATTGCAAAATACAATGCTGATATGTTTGTGGAATTGAGCATCCCCAACAATGAAAATGTTTAAACAATAGCTGCAACTGGCATTGTAATCAGTTATTGTACAACCACTTCTATAACCTCATGAATGGTATGGGAATTTAGCATTCACATCTTGGCCACAGTAGTTGTAATACAGTTGCAAGAAAAAGTATGTGAACCCCTTGGGATTACGTGGAGTTTTGCATGAATTGGCCATAAAATGTGCTCTGAACGTCATCTAAGTCACAACAATAGAAGAACACGGTCTGCTGAACATAATACTACACAAACATTAGATGTTGCCATGGTTTAATTGCACATAACATGTAAACATTCACAGTGCAGGGAGGAAAAAGTATGTGAGGCCCTAGCTTAATGACTTCTCCCAGAGCTAATTGGAGCCAGGAGTGAGCCAACCTTGACTCCAATCAGTGTGATGATATTGGATGTGTTGCTGACAGCTGTCCTGCCCTTAAAAAACACACACCTGTTTTGGGTTTACTGGTTTCAAGAAGTTTTTTTTTTTTTTTTTTTTTTTTTTTTTTTTTTTTTTTATTTTTATTTTTTTTTTTATTTTTTTTTTTTTTTTTTTTTTTTTTTTTTTTCACTGTCTGATGTGAACCATGCCTCGCAGAAAAGAGCTCTCAGAAGACCTACGATCAAGAATTGTTGACTTGCATGAAGCTGGAAAGGGTTACAAAAGTATCTCCAAAAGCCTTGATGTTCATGTGTCCACGGTAAGACAGACTGTCTAGAAATGGAGAAAGTTTAACACTGTTGCTACTCTCCCTAGGCGTGGTCGTCCTGTAAAAATGACTGCAAGAGCACAGTGCAGAATGCTGCATGAGGTAAAGAAGAATCCCAGAGTGTCAGCTAAAGACCTACAGAAATCTCTGGCACATGCTAACATTTTTGTTGATACATCTACAATAAGGAAAACATTAAACAAGAATGGAGTACATGGGAGGACACCAAGGAGGAAGCCATTGCTGTCCAAAAAGAATATTGCAGCACGTTTGAAGTTTGCAAAAGACCACCTGGATGTTCCACAGCACTACTGGCAAAATATACTGTGGACAGATGAAACCAAGATTTAGTTGTTTGGGAAGAACACACAACACTATGTGTGGAGAAAAAAAGGCACAGCACACCAACATCAAAACCTCATCCCCACTGTAAAACATGGCGGAGGGAGCATCATGGTTTGGGGCTGCTTTGCTGCCTCAGGGCCTGGACGGATTGTTGTCATTGATGGGAAAATGAATTCCAGAGTTTATCAAGACATTTTGCAGGAAAACGTACGACCATCTGTCCGCCAACTGAAGCTCTGCAGAGGATGGGTGATGCAACAGGACAATGACCCAAAGCATACAAGTAATTCAACAAAACAATGGCTGCAACAGCACAGAATACGCCTTCTGGAGTGGCCCAGTCAGAGTCCTGACCTCAACCCGATTGAAATGCTGTGGCATGACCTTAAGAGAGCGATTCACACCAGACATCCCAAGAATATTGCTACACTGAAACAGTTTTGTGAAGAGGAGTGGTCCAAAAATTACTCCAGATCGTTGTGCAGGTCTGATCTGCAACTACAGGAAATGTTTGGTTGAGGTTATTTCTGCCAAAGGAGGGTCAACCAGTTATTAAGTCCAAAGGTTCACATACTTTTTCCTCCCTGCACTGTGAATGTTTACATGTTATGTGCAATTAAACCATGGCAACGTCTAATGTTTTTGTGTAGTATTATGTTCAGCAGACTGTGTTCTTCTATTGTTGTGACTTAGATGACGTTCAGAGCACATTTAATGCCCAATTCATGCAAAACTCCACGTAATCCCAAGGGGTTCACATACTTTTTCTTGCAACTGTAAACCTGAGTGATCCCTTTGTGTTACTATATCAGGGTACCAAAGACAAAATCTTTTATTTAGTTACGGTAATCTATATTGAATGTAAGCACAAATGTGTTTTGTCCTGTTTTGGTTTAATCATCTCTTCCTTCCCTCATTGGACTTTAGTTGTCAACACAGTTTGCAGATCTCTTCTATCTGTTATCTAAAATCAACAGTTCTGCACTAAATGTTGTGTGAATTCATTGCCCCTTCTCTCTAGCAAACTGTCACTTTCATAGAATGAGTAATTATCACTGGCACATCTGCTATGTGAAGACATAAATCTCTGGCCTTTAATATCTCTATTGCTTAATACATGTCTAAAAACAAAAACCTCAGGTTCCCCCCTCACCTACGTTGGACATCTCTGGCACAGAGGCCCGGTAGGGAGGGTGCAGGAAAACAGGGGGGTTGTCATTAATGTCTTGCACCTTGATGATGAACTGAGAGGGGGGCTCAAGTGGTCGAAGGGTAACCTTGTCCACAGCCTGTGCCAGTAGAATATATTCCTCCTTTTCTTCCCGATCCAAGGACTTTGTTACATGGATGTTGCCAGTTTTCTCATCAATAACAAACACAGAACCAGCTCCCTCTCCAGTCAGGATATATTTGGCTCGTCCTTCCCCTCGATCGACATCTGTGTGAAGCTGTGAAGCCATAATACAAGTTACATAATGCTATTATCAGAGTAATAAGCCCAGCAAGCTTTAGCAGCAAACTATTAAATAACATAGTTGTGCAATAATTCATATCAACCAATCGTAACCCAGCTAGCAGTAGTTTAAAGTAGTTTTAGGAGTAGAAATATCCTGCCCACCCTGACAAGGCATTATATACCTTGGTAACAAAATACAGCTGGTCTGATATACCTGGGCACTTGGTCACATGAACAAAGGCATTTTTTACATGATCTTTTCAAAGATGAACTTAACCCAATCAACATCTCTGCCTCAACTGTGATCCTATTCAACAGTGAGCACAAAACCATTCCCTTGGTATTAAAGTGGTTGTAAACCCCTGAAACAAAAAATGAACAAAGCACATCCTTCTATAGTATGTACTTGCCTCAATCCAAAGTAATTAGTATGATTTCTGTCTATTTGCATGAGTCACCTCTGACAGTCTATGCTGACACCAGACAATCCCGGAGACAGCCCGAAACCCAGTAGATGATTGACAGCCTCAGCTGTGCATGCTTCCCTGTGTAGAGGGGTGTGTGTGTCTTTTCCCTCCACTCAGGTCTCAGATTACATTCACCTCCCTGCTCTATGCTGTGCAGCATGTGACATCAGTTTCCCAACCCCTGCCTCTCTGGAGAAGAGAAATTTTGTGTACACTGGGTAATTTGAACTGTTAAAGAGTGAAGGCTGCATATAAACACCTGCGGCACACTTGTAGGCTCGATCCCAAGCCGTGCTGCATGCGTCCACAGACACAGACAGCGTGACTCGGCCCTGACAATGATCCCTCATCACAGGATTTGACTGACAGCAGAGGAAGCCAAAGGCTCCTGCCGCCTCAGCAAAGCCTGTGAAAGCAGGGGAAGCTGCTTCAGATGGTCACAGCACTGGATCGAGTGAGGGCTCAGGTAAGTAAAAGGGGGAGGGGGGGAGGGGCAATACTAATACCTAATCTTTAAAAATATAGAATCACTTTAATGCCTTGTCCTATTTATTATTACCCTAACAGCTCAAATTGTCAAGGTAAATAGGGCCAAATGTTTGACTATAGATCTGCTTTACAATAATTACAGCTTCCTGAGAACTCAATACCTTGTTTCAATTCAAATCTAAAATTGACTCTTTGTAAGAACTTGGCAGTTTAGGAATGATTTAATATTACCTATACAGTACACAGTAAATGATCTGAATTAAGAATTATAAGTATACAATACAATAGTCAATGCACAGCACGCAGTAGATTCTTTTTTTCTCTCTACACAAATATACCAAGAACCTATAGCTGGTAAGAGAAACAACAACTAAAAAATGTTAATTTAGTGCAAAAAAATTGGAATTTCACAAACGTGTAGATAAACAAAGCATTTGTGACAGCTGTTTGGGAACATATAGCAAATTCCTTTGGGGGCAAGGAATAGAGCGGGTGGTTCAACATTCTCTGTGAAATGTTGCAGAATCTTTTGGTGCTATATAAATGAATAAAATAAATACAAGTAAATAAGATTTCTTTTGATTAGCTGCTATGGATTATTACACTTTGCACATTGCATTATTAAATAAAGGCCTATGTTTTATTCAGATCTACTCCCTAATGATTGTATCTTGTTTACATTTTACTGTTCTTTGCAATCACAGCTTTTATTCCTGTATCCTACCAAACTATTACTGAACCGTTTACAAGCTGCAAATTTCATTCAGATATAAGCCTGCCCAACTGGAGCTTGTAATCTAATTTTCCTTCCACAAACATACAAAGACACAGCCTGGTGCCTATTTAGTCAGAAGCCAATTAACCTACCAGTAGTTCTTTGGCCTGTAGGAGAAAGCTAAAGTACCTGGAAAAGCCTGCGCCAACATAGAACATATGAACAAGTTCTGTTATATTCACTGTAATGTAGGGAATACATAAAGATTCAACTCGTTATCTATCACTTTATCATTGTGGAAAACTAGCCATACACTAATAGACTGTTTTGTTATGTCTTCGGGCTGTACGCAAAAAAACAGATTCCTCTATCCATCATAAACAGAGGAGTGAGGCTCTTGTACTCTGTCAACCGGAAACAGCAGTAGTCAGAATGGGATGGGCACTGTCAAACAGTGACTACAGCTGATTGGCTGCAGTCATTGCTTGGCCAAGAATTATCCACCCAGCTCTGGTGATTTCCAGATCAAAGGATGTCAGACAGTGGGGGGACCTCTCAATGCTCGTTTTTCAGCCGGTTCATCAGAACCTGGCCAAAATTCAATTAGTGTATGGCCAGCTTTACTCAGTGTTCTGTACAAAAACGACAAGTAAGAAAACAGACCCTGCAGTTAGCAGTTAAAGTTAAAGCAGATCAGTTGCTTTTGTTGTTGACAAACCAGTGTTGCCTGTTTTTTTTTTTGACCAGTGTTGGCATCAATCCCAGCACAAGATGGCCTCCTACTTTCAGCAAAGAGAACAGATTTTCAAGGAATTAATTTTGTGTTACAGGCTAAGGTAAGGGTTAAGTTAGGCTTAGGGTTTAAAGTTGAACCACAGGCAGATATAAAAGGCACACATGAATGCAGTTAGTGAATATTAATATATCATTAAATGATTATTTTTGAATGCTAGCAATGTAGGTAAGCCTCTTGAAGTCTATACAGCAGAGCTCAGACTAAAAGAGCAGCAGAAGGAGCCATTGAGGTGTGCTGAATACCACAGAACATGCTATTATTATTATACAGGATTAATATAGCACCAACAGTTTGTGCAGCGCTTTACAAAATGAAGGTAGACATTACAGTTACATTACAATTTGGTAAAGAGGAAAAGAGGGCCCTGCTCGTTAGAGCTTACAATCTAGGAGATAGGAGGAGAGATGAGAGTGGCAGAAAAAGGAGCACATTAGTGTGCTGCTTCTCTCTTCACTGTACAGTCACAAGGCAAGGGTTGGAGAGGAGACCTGTAAATTTAAAAGTAAAACATTTTTGGGAGTACAGAGGTTACCTCTAATAAAGCATATCCTAAGTTTTTCTGGCTACTGTAAAAATCCTCCCCCTCGTAATGCCAGATGATACAGTGGCTCTGACTGTGAAGGACTTGTACCATTGCCCTCCCCATTCCTCTCTCCTTGTCCATTCACAAAAATCCTAGTGTTCTTCTCCCATAATGCAAGGTATTCTGTGATTGGAAAAGGGGCAAATGAATGTTAACAGGAACCAGCAGCCAGCAGAACATGGCATATGCTTTATTAGAGGTAAATTATGTGACTGGTGCTGAGTGCCCCAAATTGTTTTACTGGAGTTCAGCTTCAAGAGAAACTGCAGGAGAGAAAGATCAGGCCAATTCCCTTGGCAGACAGGACTGTGTAAAATTCAGGAATAGGTGGACAAAAAAAACAATCCTCTAGCACGTAACACAGCACTCAGACATATAGCAACGGTGTATTTAGCTTTATGCCTGTATGCCTGGAGTTTGTTTTTATGGTTAGGGTCATGTTTTAGGAGTTTGGTTAAGTTTTAGGTTTAAGGTTAAGTACATATTACACTCCTTGGTTAGGTTAGATCAGCAATGGGCAAACTACGGCCCACGGGCCGTATACGGCCCAGCGGACCTTTTAATCCGGCCCGCGGATGTGGCTGTCAGGATGTGTGTAGGCGGGGCAGCGTGACGAACGTGAGGGGAGCTAGGCTCCTCTCACAGTCCGCCCTGAAGACCGGAACGGCGCGGCGAACACGGCGAGAGGAACGCGTGGAGCAAAGGTAAGTGAATTGACACAGGGGGGACTTGGCTTACTACTTGGGGGGAATAGTACTGTGGGGGATGAAATACTATATGAGGATGAATTAATATGGGGAATGAATTACTATAGGGGGGATGAATTACTATATGGGGGATGAATTACTATATGGGGGATGAATTACTATATGGGGGAATGAATTACTATGGGGGATGAATTACTATATGGGGGATGAATTACTATGGGGGATGAATTACTATATGGGGGATGAATTACTATGGGGGATGAATTACTATAGGGGGGATGAATTACTATATGGGGGATGAATTACTATATGGGGGATGAATTACTATAGGGGGGGATGAATTACTATATGGGGGATGAATTACTATGGGGGATGAATTACTATATGGGGGATGAATTACTATAGGGGGGATGAATTACTATATGGGGGATGAATTACTATAGGGGGGATGAATTACTATGGGGGATGAATTACTATGGGGGATGAATTACTATATGGGGGATGAATTACTATAGGGGGGATGAATTACTATATGGGGGGATGAATTACTATGGGGGATGAATTACTATGGGGGATGAATTACTATGGGGATGAATTACTATATGGGGGATGAATTACTATGCTTACTATGGGGGAATATTACTATACTTACTATGGATGACACATACACATCATTCATCTACTCTTGGTCCGCCCCCGTGTCCAATATATGAACCCATTGCGGCCCTCAAGTCAAAAAGTTTGCCCACCCCTGGGTTAGATGCTAAGTGTTAGGGTGAGGTTAATGGTAAATGTAGGGCTTAGGTAAAGTTGTATATCTCTAGCAAGTGATGGGGTGGCGTATGTGTTCCATTAAGGTTCAGGGTCACAGGATGTACAGGATCCCTTTAGTTACAAATTTGATTTTGGCTGTGTAAACTGTTATACTAATAACTAGCTGGTGCTGCTTTGTCAAGACCCAAAATCCAAAATACCAATGGTGAAGATAAGCTATTGTTTTTCTTAATATATGTGAATAAGATCAGCTTAAAAATACTCTCTTGTTAAACATGTCCGAACGCAAAATTAACATATGTGTAGATGTTTTGGAGGACATCCATTATTTTAAACAACTATGCTGTACATCCGAACAGTCATCCTGTACAGCTATCAACCCCAGCTTCTCTGATGGCTTCCATTACCATCTTTTTCAAGCCTATAAAGAGTAAGCTAGTTGTTTGCAGGCTACAAATATA